TTGCCGTTAGAAGTATTTTTTCTATAAATCGGACCAGACTACAGTTAAAAAAATGCTACAACCTACACTGGCTAATAACTAAACAAGGAAAACAGATAGAAAGTTCCATCGTTAAAATGATAAATGTTCTACAGTTTCCCGAGACACAATTAGATTATTCTAACTAGGAAAACTCAGCGCAGAAAAAATTAAAACCCTCAATAATCTTACCCTAAAATTCATTGTTGGAAAGGCGCTTCCTATAAGTACTACGGAGTTATGTATGCAAGTCAGAAAATGTGTATTCAATAAATGAATGAATCAGTTTATTGAGTTTAACATTGTTTTTATTTATGACTATTTAAAATACTTCTCAGGATGAATAAATTTAACCCTTTTTATACGCCCGTCTTAAGACGGGACTATTATGTTATAGGCTTCGTGTCCGTCCGTCTGTCCATTCCTGTCCGGCTCATAACTTGAATACTATTAGGCCTAGGATTATCAAACTTTGTCAACTTATACTTCTTGGGTAGACGGTGTGTCGCGCACAAAAAGTAGGTCGCTCTGACCTTTAATAAAGATGCTATAGCCAAATATGGAAAAATCCTGTCCGGCTCATAACTAGAAAACTATTAGACCTAGAGCTTTCAAACTTGGCAAAAGTATACATCTAAAGTAGAAGGTGTGTCGTGGCCTATTTCAAGGTCACTGTGACCTTTAATTATAGTGAATTTTTTAAAAGAACTAAGTCTTTTAAATTCTAAATTTTATAATCCTAAAAAATGTAAAAATATAGTTATATGCTTATTAAAAACCGTTAAATTAAGTAAAAACTTGTTTTTTCATTATATACTTTACAGCAATCTGTAACAAATGTTTATGCTTTGAGAGGAATTCAGTTTGTCATGGGCTTAATTATCAAGCACTGGTCAAGAAGAATTTTGATAGCAGAAATTTGCATGTCAAATTAGAGAAAAATTAATGAGTTTATTGTCAGGAGCTAAGAGCATCTCTAGATCTGATGCAGATGCTATCTTAATTTATCTCTTGGGAGTTGGGCAAAAAGAAATGGCCTCATAGTTGCTTGTGCTAATTAAGAGTTCTTGATGGCTAGTCCAGATAAAGATCTTTCAATAGGTGTAATGAAATTAAAACAAATTGATGTTTTAGTGTATGATTAAAACTAAATTAGTATTGTATAATATGATTAAAACTAATTAGGGCCCCGCAAGGATTTGCGGGTGCCCTATAGTAATCACTCTGTCTGTCCGTCTGTCTGTCTGTCTGTCTGTCCGTCTGTCACTCTTCCGTCCACAAATTTTCTGTTTTTTTCTAATAACTTTTTTTATGGTTGCCCAATCAAGTTCAAATTTGGTATGGTGGTTCAGTAGGCAAAAATACATATTTTGATGCTAAGTTTGGTTCTCTATGTCTTCTGGTTTGGAGCTGGGGTGGTGGGGTAGATTCCTTAACTATGCATAAGAATGAATGGGCAACTTTTTTTATGATTGCCCAATTAAGTTCAAATTTGGTATGGTAGTTCAGTAGGCAGAAATACATATTTTGATGCTAAGTTTGGTTCTCTATGTCCCCTGGTTTGGAGCTGGGGTGGTGGGGTACATTCCTTAACTTTATAAAAGAATGCATTGGCAAAGAGAGATAACTGCTGAAGATGTTCCCATTGTAAACTGAATGCTGCTATATGAGTCCCTTGGGATTAATTAGCTTTCCTCCTGAAGAAAATCCAGAGCATTATCTTTATCTGTCACATTGAGATGAACTAGTGCTAATTGTAACGGGGACCGTTACAGATGTTCCCCAAACGCTCCCCAACTCCCTTTTGGTGCCATATTCCCTGTAAGCTTCATTAACTAAGACAACCTCTATGCATCTGAGATTTTAACAACATTAACAAAGAAGTGTACAAAAATCATTTAAACTTTAGCATTGCACGCGTGCACATGTGAATGCATATGCGTCATGACCATATCATCTTGTCTACACAATCTTTATTTTTAGTATACTGAATATTAAAGTATTTAATCCAAAATTATTAAAAAAAAAATTCGCTCATTCAAGTGTATATGTTTGATTTTTCTCATTTCACGTGCACGCACGTCCATACATGAGCATGGTGACCATACCTTCTTGTAGAAGTCCATTACATCTATCTATGTTCTAAATTCAACCCCGTTTGGGTGAAAACTAAGGGAGTTATAGCTGTTTAAAGTTTCAGCCAATCAGATTGCAGCACATGTACACGCACGTGTATGCATGTGCATGGTGACCATACCTACTTGTAGAAGTCCATTATATCTATCTATGTTCCAAATCCCATCCTGTTTGGTTGAAAACCAAGGGAGTTATAGCTGTTTAAAGTTTCAGCCAATCAGATTGCAGCGCACGTGCATGCACGTGTTTTCATGATAATTGCTTTATTTCATGTTGTAGGATATCCTGATGCATGGCTATGTTCAAAATTTCAAAGGATTTCGTCAAAAAACAAGAAAGATATTGAGACTTTAGTTGCAGCCAATCAGAGCGAAGTGCACGTGCATGCGCGTGAGATCTTGCTATTTTCACCATGTCATCATGTCTATACTACTAATGTATCCTCACATTATGAGTTTCAAAGCATTTCATTTAAAAACAGAACAGTTGTGGCTATATCTATTATATTGGTCATTTCACGTGTTGCACGTGCACGCTCTTGCAAGCACGTGCGCGCAAAATGACCTTGATTCCGCAAATCTACATAACATGTCTACTTACCCTAAAAAGGTTTTACCTACATTGGACGAACAGTTTACAAGATCATTCCCGGACAAAAAAGTTCCAGGAAGAAGAAGAAGAAAAATAATAATAATAATAATAATAATAAGAAACAGAGTAAAAACAATATGTTCCCCAACTTCGTTTGGGGAACATAATTACCACCTCTGTCTACAAATGAAGTTTGTTTTGAAGTTTAGTCAATTTGGAATGTTATGAACACTCTGAAATGTGGATTTGAATATAAATTTTCATAATTTATTTTTGTTTAATAGTTATGATTTCATTGAATTCTAAAATCAAGAAATAGATTAAAGAAGATTTTTTGATTTACTTTTGTTACTTATGTTAATTCAAGAATATTATTAATTTTTAAGGTAGTTGTATAAAAACCCCATTCTATCATTAATACTGAAAAAGTTCTTATTGTAACTTTAAAAGAAAATGATGAGAGAGATACAATTAATCCCTTGGGATTAATTATCTAGCCTGCTGCAGAAAATTTAGTTAGGCTTTTCTTTATCTGTCTTTAAGATTAATGAAAACCTTTGTCTGCAACTGCTGTTTGTTTGAAGTTAAGGTCAAGCCTTCATGATATTTGCATTCATTGAAGGCTGGATTTTATATAACACAAGCTTCATAATTGTTTAAATATACATTCAATGTTAAGTCATTCTTTACTGCCTAATGTAAGTACAAGGATATTATTTTCAGGTTTTTGAATGTTCAGGAATTATCTTGAAATTTTAAGAATACAGTTGCTGTTGCTTATTTTTCGTATATTTTGAGTCATTCCGTAAGCTGCACCCTTTTAATTCTACCCCATGGCGGGGCCCTTGCTGACTGGTCAGTTTTCTAGTTATATATGTGTTAATTTGAAAAAAAAAATTACATTTCAATTTTTATTTATTTGCAACAAAGATGCTATAGCAAAATATGGAAAAATCCTGTCCGGCTCATAACTAGAAAACTATTAGACCTAGAGCTTTCAAACTTGGCAAAAGTATACATCTAAAGTAGAAGGTGTGTCGCGGCCTATTTCAAGGTCACTGTGACCTATAATTAAAATGAATTTTTAAAAAAAAACTATGTCTATTAAATTCTAAATTTCATAATCCTAAAAAATGTAAAAATATAGTTGTATCCTAGCTTATTAAAAAACGTTAAATTAAGTAAAAACTTATTTTTTCATTATGTACTTTACAGCAATCTGTAACAAATGTTTATGCTTTGAGAGGAATTCATTTTGTCCCATGGGCTTAATTATCAAACACTGGTCAAGAAGAATTTTGATAGCAGAAATTTGCATGTCAAATTAGAGAGAAATTAATGAGTTTATTGTCAGGAGCTAAGAGCATCTCTTAATCTAGTTATCTTAATTTATCTCTTGGGAGTTGGGTAAAAAGAAATGGTCTCATAGTTGTTGTGTTAATTAAAAGTTCTTGATAGCTAGTCCAGATAAAGATCTTTCAATTGGTGTAATTAATTAAAACAAATTGATGTTTTAGTGTATGCATGATTAAAACTAAATTAGTATTGTACAATATGATTAAAACTAATTATACATGTGTTAATTGAAAAAAAAAACATTATATTTCAAATTTTATATATTTGCGACAAATTGCAGTCATGTCTCACTAGTATTATTTGTTATAATCAATCCCTACACTGTAAGTCTCTTAGAGATGTATAATAAGAAATGGAAAATAGATAATTGAAATCTGTGTTAATCTGTTAATCAAGGCTACCTGATTTTCTTGCATCCTAACCAATTTATGATTATTGAACAATATTTGACGGGCGTATCATGCTGTGGCGGGGCACTTTATTGATAGTTCAAATTATCGATTATATAATAATCGATTGTGTTCTTCCGATTCAATTTGATAATCGATAGTAAAATTTGTCCAATTTTACAACACTACTCATTAGAAAATAATGTATTTAGAAGAAATGAATTTAATTTTTGAAGATTCATGAGGTACATGAACTACTACACTTCACACCGGCATATTTATCATGAATGCCGACTTGAAGCATCGTAGTTCATGTCCTCATGATTTATGAATCTTCAAAAATGAAATTCATTTTTTAAGTAAATGTGACTATGTGGACCAAATTGTATTCATAAGTTTTGCTTCTAGGGTTGCTCACTACTAGAGTATGAGTGTAGGACTTTGCTTAACTATAAGACACTTGTTGAGAGCTCATATTCTCTGATAACCTTTGTTTTTATATATCTGCAGTGTGACCCAAACTTGGAAGTGTTTGCTGTGTGGATAAATACTCTAGACCCCCGCCTACCTCGCATTGCTTTGTTCTCCAAGAGGGACATAGAAAAAGGAGAAGAACTTACATTTGATTACATGATGACTGGTGAGTTATAATCAAGGGTTCTGTTTGATTAAAATTTTATGCTGAATTAGGAACTTCAACCACTTATCAGATCAGTGACATTTGATTTACTTTTAAATAGGGATGGCAGTCGAATACAAAATTGCCAATCGGTTAACTTAGTGATGGAACGATTGTCGCCGACAATCGATTGTCGGTCGTTAGAAGCTCTTCGATGCTACTAATCGATTATAAAATGAATGTCGCCGACATCGCTAACAAAAAATTAAATTGTCATACTTTAATTTTATTACCAAATCCAAGTGCAAAGAGCATAAAAGTAGTGATAAATGTTGAAAAAATGGAAGGATTCCGTGTCTTGTTGATACTTTTACCGCCATGATTAAATATGGGGTTAGACTAAAACCAGGAAACGGTGATATTGCAAGGTTTTACTATACAAAGGAAAACATAATTAGTCTAGTCAATCTTTAAACGTAATTGTAATCAGAAATACAAGTCTTACTTCTGGATAACTACTTTTAAAACTTGCAATTTTAACTAATTAAAACTAATTTTAAGAAATAAATACATGTATTAAATAAAAGTTGGGACTAATATCAGTAAAATACCCATTGCATGTACTTTATAAAAAAAAATAAATTCCATTTCTGTTTCAATAGTCCTACATTGTTTTAAGTGAACAAAATATCATTTTCCACATTTAAAAAAGAAATTTCAATTAACATTTTTGAATATTTTATGTTAGTAAATGATTTTTGTGTAAAAGTCTGACAGAAATCTGAATAAGTTTTAACATTTCTATATTAACAGATTAATTTCATTAAAGTTCAAAATTTCGATTATAATCGATTATTAATCGATTATGCCCAGCCGATTATTACTGATAATCGATTCTGATTTTTTTCCGATTCCCCATCACTAGGTTAACTGCAAGTCGTTCCAACCGATTAATCGGTTAATCGTATCAAAAATTCTCTGAAGATTTCAAGGCTAAAAAGATGTTACAAGTAGAAATAATATGTTCACATTTTATTAGAACACTGTTTATATTTTATTTCAATTTAGTGAAAGAAAAAATTAAAGAAAAATGAAAGAAATCAGAATACGTGCAAGTCTCAGATACATTAAAAAAATCTGAATATATGTCTCACAAGCTCATTCTATATTGTAACAATTATCAAAAAGAAGTCCAACTCTCACTTAATGAATGTATGTACATTTAAGAGAATAAGTCATTGTCATAATTTACAATGTTTGTTTTGTAATATAATGTGATAGGTAATTATAACGGATAGAAGGGGGTAGATACACATTATATCACTTCACGCTGCTGATCAGTCTTTTAATTAAAATCATTAGAGAAACGCAGGACAGACTGGGTAAAGGCACATAGTGTTTAAACAACAATTAACATCTCAAAAACTGACCAATTACATGCACCCCTAAGATGTCAATCTGTGAGCCTTAATTATCTCCAAATCACCTTAAATTGAAAGTCAAAAATGCAAACATTTTCGATATTTTTTAATTATGATTTTTAAAATTGAAATTTTAGAAAATTGTGTTCAAATTTACACAAATTAATTTTTTTTTTCCGACTAACTGATTATAGATTTTCTAACCAGTTACTATCGTTTCCACCCAGTAACTGGTTAACCAATTAGAAATTGCCATCCCTACTTTTAAAAAGTAAAATGTTTTAGTCTTCGAAAAATGCTAGTGGTACAACAGTAAAATATGTTTATTTTGTAAATATATGAAATTTAATGTTAGATTTTGTGCATGTAGTAAATGGAAATATGAAGTTTTTCAGTACTCAATGCTAGTTAGGGCCCCGCAAGGATTTGCGGGTGCCCTATAGTAATCACTCTGTCTGTCCGTCTGTCTGTCTGTCATTCTTCCATGCACAAATTTTCTGTTTTTTCCTAATAACTTTTTTTTATGGTTGACCAATTAAGTTCAAATTTGGTATGGTAGTTCAGTAGGCAGAAAGACATATTTTGATGCTAAGTTTGTTTCTCTATGTCCTCTGGTTTGGAGCTGGGGTGGTGGGGTAGATTCCTTAACTTTATATAAGAATGAATTGGCAAAGAGAGATAACTGCTGAAGATGTTCCCATTGTAAACTGAATACTGCAATGAGTCCATTGGGATTAATTAGCTTTCCTCCTGAAGAAAATCCAAAGCATTATCTTTATCTGTCACATTGAGATGAATTACCACCTCTGTTTGCAAATGAAATTTGTAGTCAATTTGGAATGCTATGAAAACTCTGAAACATGGAGTTAAGTATAAATGTTTATACTTTATTTTTGTTAAAATATCCTACACAATGAGTTCTGATTTCATTGAATTCTAAAAATATTTGCTTTATGTAAATTCAAGAATATTATTATCAATTTTTAAGGTACCTTGATAAAAACCTCATTCTATCATTAATGAAAAAGTTCTTGTAAATTTAAATGAAAATGATGAGAGAGAAGTACAATTAATCCCTTGGGATTAATTATCTAGCCAGATTAGCCTGCTGCAGAAAATTTGGAAGGCTTATCTTTAGCTGTCACTTTAAGATTAATGAAAACCTTTTTCTGCATTTGCTGTTTGTTTTGAAGTTAAGGTCAAGCCTTCATGATATTTGCATTCATTGAAGGAACATATAGAATTGTTCTGAATTGTTTTGAATCATTCCGCAAGCTGCACCCTTATAATTCTATCCCATGGTGGGGCCCTTACTGACTGGTCAGTTTTCTAGTTGATAAAAAAAACAAAACACACACATATTTCCCATTTTGAATCTAGCTTGAAAATCTCATTTGAAATTGGAATATATTCATGTCAATAAAAATGGACTTCTTAATTGGCAGGAGACACCACTAATCAAGCTCCTACATTGGATGATGTGGACATCACTAAACAGGCCAAGTTACTACAAGCCTCCAGTGCCCAGTCCATTGAGATGCCCAGTAGTCTGGAAAACGACGACAACACTGCCACAGAAGATGAAGACACCGCGGACGATTCACAGGGACTGGACACCACGATGGAAACGGAGACCGAGTGTGACACCGCTGACGAAAAAGAGAAAGAATCCAGTGGAAGTGAACAAGGAGGAGAAAGGATGGATCTCAAGAGAGGAGAGGTCAAGGCCCCTGTAACAGAATTGGCTGCCACTGGGGATGCTCCAACTGGTAATGCAGGGAGCACTGTAGCTCCAGTGATGAAGACACCGGAGAAACTCTTGCCCAAATCTGTTACTGATCAGTACAAGATTGTCTGTCAGTGTGGCGCCAAGAACTGCAGAAAATACTTGTTCTGATTTAGTTAGTCCTTTTGATAGTCCTTATTATAGTCATTTCTATTGTGGCATTTTATTTACTGGTTTCTTTTTTTGGGAACCTTAGACGTAGAGAAGGGAGTATTATTGTCTGAAAATGTGATTGAAAAATCCTTATGGAATTTTCTGAATGATGCCCATAATGTATTCAAACATTGAGAAATATATGCTGAAAAATAATAATTATGTGCCAATATTAACAGCTAATTACAGTCTTTGATTTCAGACATATTGTAAATATTTGTAAAGTTTTTTTTTGAGGTGGGATGGGATGTTGTTAAAGTGTCAATTCCAGTTTTATACTTTCATGGCAGTAAGAAATATTGGATATATTATCCAAAAAGTCAATAATGATCTCAAATTCTAAAGATAGATTAAAACAAAGAGACTATAAAGGAGATGAAAAAGGATAAAATTTGATTACTGTTACTTGTCCTGCATGTGAGTGATTAAAACATTTCAAGTATATTTATGTTTAAAGTAATTCCACTATTTTTAAAACCTTCAAATTTATATCAATTATTTGCATATATAAATTTTGAATCAACTAGAACAGAAAAACCATTTTATTTAGACAGTGGAACACATGCAGTGTATTTTCACAACCCTTTAGATTTATATATGGTATTAAAATCAAAATCTGTCAACAAAAAACATGATAACAAATTGATTATGTTTTTATAAATGTAAAGTGTTTTTGTCCTGTATATTTTTTTTTCCATGTGATCATGTTTTTCAATGGCAGGGAAGATAAAACATTGTACTACTGTATTACTCATCCATTTATATAAACTTCATTGAAGAAGTTTTGTATATAAAAATCAAATATGTATTTCTTTACCTTACATGTACTCTCTATATGAATGAAGATTAATTGGAGAATGACATATTTTTAGCTGAGTCTTTTCTTGTTTATGAGGAGAATTTTTTTTTTTGATGTAAAAAAAAAATTGCTGAACCTCTGAAAAAGGAAGAAAGACCTTCGTGCATGAACCTATTTTATTGTATATATGGGATTTTTACTTTGAAAGTTATGTCACTGATCATAAATTTTACATCAACTAAGAGCTGCAGACTTTTCTTTTAGTGTCCATGGATAATTTTTGAGAATTAAATGAACAGTTGATGAGATTTAGATGTTTGAATGTATTTAAAGAACACATGTATAAGTTATTTTATAAATTTGAAATTGTGTATGATGTTTTGAATAAATTGTCATACTTGTTTAAGAAGTAAAACTGGATTTGTTTTGATATATAATTATTTATCAGTACAGAATCAGACCATTGTAGACTTTAACTTCATGTTCTAATCTTCATAGATTGATTATACATGTACCATTAAATTTTAAGCAGTTAAGATTTATTGAGTTTTAAGATTAGTCACGTAGGTTAGAATTCAACAGACGGTCTTGCATAAGAATATATTGGAATCATCGCGGAAAACAGGTACTTGAGAACAGCAAAGCCATCCTTAGTCATATATTATAGAAGGAAATGTTTTCCAGTTAAAGGTTGGTAGGGTTTGCCACAATGAGCACTCAGATTTTTACATAGGAATAGGTAGGAGGAAACTTGATAAATTTTTGTAATTTGTTCAGGTGAGCAGTGTGGCTCACAAGCAATTTTTAAAGGTATAAACAAAAGAAAGGCACAATTTTTCAATGAACAATTTATTGTGCACTTCTCACAAAATTATTAAGAGCTACACAGGAGAAAATTCTGCAGATATGTGCAACTATATTTGAGAAGTGCTAATTAAATGTGGATACTAAATCATTGCTGAGAACTTTAAAAAAATATCGAAAAAGACATTTTTTTTAATGATATATGGAGATGACAAACAGTATTTGAGCTCAAGAGAGTCAATTTATAACTCACATTATACAACCCTTCCTTTTGATGATTAAAGATAACTGCTTTATCAATTTTTTAAATAATGGCCTTATAAAACATGTATCTTCAAAATTGTTATCCAAATTATGTGTGAAAAGCATTTTGATCCTTCCAACGAGATGTCTGAATAAATATGTGCAATCAATGTTGAGAGACCAAATCTTTCAAAAATCTGCTGTTGGAACTCCAATGGGAATGTATTGACCCCCTTTGGAATCCGTTTTAAAATTGATCAACAAATATATTTTAAGCAAAAAATAGGTATTCAGGCATTAAAAGAAAATTGCCTTGTTTTTCATTCTTATTCGATACTTTAATTAGTATTTCTATATTGTTCATTTGTTATAGAATTCATAGTGTGAAACATTTGTACTGCTGTTGTAAGACATCACAGATCGTCTCTGATTTAATATCATTCTTATAAATAGCTGCAGATCTGTAGCGCTATGGTTTTATAGATTTGTCTTTGACCATAACGCTACAGATCCCGTAATGCAAAAAAAGTGCAATTTACGGGGCAATATTTTTTGCGCACTTTTGGGGAGAATTTCTCCATTTTCTAGCATCAGTCAATTAACTACCTTTCACTCCCTAATTCTAGGTACATTATTTAACTAATCTGTATATTTTATCTATCTCCCAACCCTTTATAGTCGTTTCTACAAGTGATAAACTCGCTTGATTAAAATTATTTGTTAGATTGCTGAAAATTCACTCCAAGCGAGTTTATAGCCTGTAGAGACAATTATAAATGGTTGGGATGTGGTTAAAATATACATATTGGCTACAGAATATTTTTTGCGCACTTTTGGGGAGAATTTCTCCACTTTCTAGCATTGGTCAATCAACTACATTTCACTCCCTAATTCTAGACACATTGAATGATATGGCAATATCACATATTTTTGTGGTTTGAGGGAAAAAAATAGGATAAAGAATTGTTGAATAGTAATATCTGTAAAAAATTACATTTCATGTTGGACATACTAAGTATATTTATGGTTCTCTGCAAACTTCGAAATCCACGAAAAATTGTGCCAGATTAACTTCAAAACCGTAATACATGTACATGTACATGTATATTTCTTCATGACAGGTCCAGTTATGGGCAAAAAGATTAAGTTTTTTCTGGATACACCTTAAAACTAATGATAATAATAATGTACTAGAAAACTGACCAGTCAGTAAGGGCCCCGCTGAGGGGTAGAAATATAAGAGTGAAGCTCACTGAATGAGAGTTTTACTTGATCTTTTTTTTTTTTAAATATATGAATATTATAAGTACCAAATGTTACAATATTTTTAAAATTTCAAGATAATTCCTGAATGTCCAAAAACCTGTAAAAAGTAACCTTGTATTTACATAAAACAGGGAAAACCTCATATGTCTTATAAAAAAAACTACTGTAAATTAAATGTGTATTTAAAAAAGATTTAAGCAGGTGTTTTATAAAATGCAAGCTTTCAGTGAATGCAAATATCACCCATGGTTGGCAACTTTAAAACAAACTTCAGTTGCAGACAAAGGTGTTCATTAATCTTCATGTGACAGATAAGGATAAGCCTCTAAATTTTCTGCAGCAAGCAAGATAATTAATCCCAGAGGATTAATTGTACTGCTCTCTCATCCTTTTCTTCTAAATTTACAGTAAGAACTTTCTTCAGCACTGACAGAATGGGGTTATTATCTGATTACCCGTTAAAATTAACAGCATTAAGGCAGCAAAAAAATAATTTAAAAAAAAATAGTAATGAAAAGAAAGGATATCTTAATATATATCTTGATTTTAGAATTCAATAAAATTCTCATATACCTTTGTGTACAGTATTTAACCAAAATAAAGTATGAATATTATTTAAAAATCCATATTTCAGAGAATGTGCACATCATTCAAAATTGACCTTAACTTGAAAACAAAGTTTATTTGCAGACAGAGGCGGTACAGTAATTCATCTGAATGTGACAGATAAAGATAATGCTTAGGATTTTCTTCATGTGGAAGGTTAATTAATCCCAAAGGACAATTTGTACAGCCTTCCCAGTTTACAATGTAACATTTTCAGCAGTTATCTCTCTTTTCCCATTCCTTATTATGCATAGTTAAGGAATCTACCCCACCACCCCAGCTCCAAACCAGAAGACGTAGAGAAACAAACTTAGCATCAAAATATGTATTTCTGCCTACTGAACTACCATACCAAATTTGAACTTTATTGGGCGACCACAAAAAAAGTTATTAGAAAAAAACAGAAAATTTGTGGACGGAAGAATGACAGACAGACGGACAGACAGAGTGATTACTATAGGGCACCCGCAAATCCTTGCGGGGCCCTAATTAACATCAACAGAATATTTTCCCCTTTATTTCTAACACTAAGCTTATCAATTATCATCTGTAAAAATGTTTTGAGCAGTAGCCGTTTCATCAATGAAATGTACAGTGATGTACAAATCAATATTATAATGTTTTATCTGCTGAAACTTCTACTTTAAATAAATAGTTGTACAGATATAATATGGACAATAAATGCCTTTCTTTGCTAGTATCAGAATTAATGTTGCAGCTTTTGCCAAAAAAATTTACATAACTGTGTATGAGTTATGCTTTTTTGTATAACATAAATTCCCATACTAACAAACAATGAAAGAATTTCATTGTTTAAAATAAAACTGTGGTTCAGCATATGTTCAATATAAAATTCAGTAAAGTTGAAAATAAAGTTTAATATTCAAATAATACATACATTTGAACGCTACAATATCACAGTACAAAAATATGATTTTTTGAAATTAAGTAAATGCACATCCTATCCTAATTGTACTTTGTAAAAATACTTACATTATTGCATGAGGTGAGAAGTTTAGCTATGTTCTAATCCAAATCCGATATGGAAATCTTAGATTAAAGCGTAACTGAATGCAAATCTTAATTACCAATTATCAGAATATTATTAGAACCTATCAACTTAAAAGATTTTTTTTTAAAATTAATAATTAATGTTCTTCACTATTAATAAACCACATCTTGAGACGGAGCTTTCTTATATTATTTTTTTTCCACAGATGATATAATGTGCCCGTTGTGTAATAAAAGATTAATACTACTGAAAACTTAACAGAATCTAAATGTATGTATAACATTATTACATTAAGACATTGTTTTAAATATAGTTAAAATTTTAATACAAAAATTTTGAGGATATACAATTACATATTTTAATTTCACTTGATATAAATAGCACTTGGAAAAAAAGACAGAAATTCCTGAGATAAAAAACAATTATGGATTGGTGCATGTCTTATCCCCTTTAATATATAATGTTTATGGAATTAAAAAAAAACTACCGAACTTGGAAATATGCAAAAAGAAGATCTATGGAGCATATATCTGAGTACAATATAATAAACAATGACAAAGTCTAGTTCGAAGTGTCAATTCAGCACACACTTTGTAAGATTTAAAATTATTTTTAAGTATTTGTTCATCTAGGATACTAAAGCAGTTAACAAATCATTTTTAAAGAAATTATGCATTCATTTGAAAAGATTCAAACAATCACGGAGAGAAAGAATATATTCCATCACTTAAACATTAATAATTATAATCAAAATTCTTATATGACAGGCTTTTGCTCCCTCAAATTTTACTCTCAGTATTTATGACGTCACTTTGATCTTTTCGGATGTCGGCCTTCTAAAACTTCGTACATATCATCCAAGGATTTTGTGACACATTCTATGAAGCCTGGGGCATCTCTTGCAGGGGGGTAGCTGGTTACGTTAAATCCTATCCTACTTTCTTCTATAGAATAACCTGTAAAAAAATAAAAATAAAACAAAGGTGCAAATGTTAGAGTTGAAAAATTTAATCTTAGTGCATAATATGCTATGAAAAATGTATTTTTAGAATATATCTTGACAAAAAGAGATCAATTTTGTTGGCACCTTTCATACATTAAATTAAATACTAGTAAGCAATACTGTAATATTCAAGTCGTTACTTTTTCATTATTTGAAACTGTACACCTTCACAACTTATTTTACTGAATGTGCCTTACAATTCTTATACACATGTACACTCAATATAGGTTTCAGTCTATTAATCATTCAAGATGTAGACAAATAAGGAAGACATTTCTCTCTTAAATATATGCATTTCAATGTAACAGACCAACTCCATATCCGTTTTGAGTCACTGGTGCAAATCCACCAATTAGAATGGCTGGACTAGACACGGTGGATGTTGATAAAATGATATGGTTAATTTTCTGATAGTTTGGGTCTCTAAACATCTGTGGAAGTTTGCCATCTTCCTCCTCAGCAAGCGTTTTAAGTCCAAACAAGTGTCTGTCAAACCCCTTACCTATCAAACAATTACAAATTATTAACTGGTAAGTAATGAAACCATAATTTATATATGTTTATTATATTTCATTATGAAGATGTTTAAAATTAAACCAAATTTTTGATTATTCAAATACATAGACTAAATTTTTCAATGTCTAAACAATAACATATTTTATTTATTTCAGAGGACAATATATTTCTCGACATTGTCAAGATTTCTCAAGAAGCTTTATAATTTTTGAATACTTTTTTTTTTCTCTTTTTGAACAAAATGAAAAAGTAACATTTTTATAACATAGAACAGTACAAAAAGACAAATCCTTGCGACAGACCATAGGACCTCAAGAGATGGGATGTGAACAATTATTTAAAAAGAATTTCAAGATTTTATATCCTTGTAAGCAACTTTAAATTCAAGACCATATCATGCATTTCATGATACACGTATTTCCAATCATAAGCAAATTGAAATAGTTAACAACATGTACCTTTCAAACTCTTTAAAGAGTTTCAAAGACAGGAAATGATACAGAAATATAGAAGTTGCAATATGCCTAAACTACATGTATCTTCAAAACGTCCACATATTATCAATACATTTGAACAGAATTGACAATTACCCATAGCAGCATTCCTGGTAAGTGAGCCATGCTTTTTAGAGCAAGCCATCATGGCATTCTTGAGTTCCTCTACTGATGGCTCAGGATGGTTTTTGTCTACAAACAGAGCACAAGCTCTCTTGGTCTCCGCAGTGGCTGGACGGATTGTTTCAGTTCTGCCATGCTTAAAGGCTGCAGTGCTACAGGACTCGTATGTAGCTACAGTTTGTTTATATTGTCTGTAATAGGCCATCTATTAAAAAGAAAAACATATACACTGATCATTGATAAAATTTTAATAGATTTTATCAGATGCAATAATAATAATATGCATAGATTACTAACTTAAATGTATTAAAATGTTTATATATCTGTACATATCTGATAACTATGCTTTTCCTTAATTATTAATTTAAGTTGAAATTTTGAATTCCATACAATATAGCCATAAAGGCAATTGTACAAGATTGAATCCATTTATTACTTCTTTTCTAACACTTGATAAATACATCAAATAAATCAAGTATTTGAAAAAAGGACAAAATATTATTAACTTAATGAAAATTAGCATTTTTCTGTAGTAAAACATGCTTTTAGTAAAGCTACACTAATCTACAAATACTAAGCTATGAAGAGGACAGAATGATTAAAAAAGCAATCATTTTCTTCACCAAAAACCTTGTAATGAAATCTTCCAGGCGTTCATCATTTTACAAACTAGAATCTACACTACCTGAGGATAATTCCATATAAATATCACTAATCATAGCTTTGAAGTACTTGTAAAGAAGATTTTAAAAATGTATCCCTATTTAAAACTTGTCGGCCATTTTACCCTAGCCCCGGGGGTATGGAACAAACTTAAATCTGCTCTACCGGACGATGATTCCACATGAGTTTCATCTTTCCTGGCCCAGTGGTTCTAGAGAAGAAGATTTTTAAAGATTTTTCCTATATATTCCTATGTAAAACTTGGGTCGGCCATTTTGGCCCCACCCTTGCCCCGGGGGTCATGATTTGAACAAACTTGAATCCACACTACCTGAGGATGATTCCACATGAATTTCATCTTTCCTGGCCCAGTGGTTCTTGAGAAGAAGATTTTTAAAGATTTTTCCTATATATTCCTATGTAAAACTTGGGTCGGCCATTTTGGCCCCACCCTTGCCCCGGGGGTCATGATTTGAACAAACTAGAATCTACATTACCTGAGGTTGCTTCCACATGATATCTTTCCTGGCCCAGTGTTTCTGGAGAAGAAGATTTTTAAAGATTTTTCCTATATATTCCTATGTAAAACTTTTTATTTGCCCCACCCTATCCGGTCATGATTATAACAAATTTAAATCTACACTACCTGAGGATTTCCACATGAGTTTCATCTTTCCTGTCCTAGTGGTTCTGGAGAAGAAGATTTTTAAAGATTTTTCCTATATATTCCTATGTAAAACTTTTTTTGGCCCCATCCTTGCCCCGGGGGTCATGATTTGAACAAACTTGAATAAACACTACCTGAGGATGATTCCACATGAGTTTCATCTTTCCTGGCCCAATGGTTCTGGAGAAGAAGATTTTTAAAGATTTTTTCTATATATTCCTATGTAAAACTTTCGGCCATTTTGGCCCCACCCTTTTTTGAAATTCATGATTTGAACAAACTTGAATCCACACTACCTGAGGATGATTCCACATGAGTTTCATCTTTTCTGACCCAGTGGTAATGGAGAAGAAGATTTTTAAAGTTTTTCCTATATATTCCTATGTAAAACTTGTTTACAATTTTGGCCCCACCCTTGCCCCAGGGGTCATGATTTGAACAAACTAGAATCCACACTACCTGAGGTTGCTTCCACATGAGTTTCATCTTTCCTGGCCCAGCGGTTCTGGAGAAGAAGATTTTTTAAAAATGCCATTAATTTTTAACAAATTCATGATTATCTCCCCTTAGAAAAGGGCGTGGCCCTTCATTTGAACAAAGAATCCCCTTCACCCAAGGATACTTTGTGCCAAGTTTGGTTGAAATTGGCCCAGTGGTTCTTGAGAAGAAGATGAAAATGTGAAAAGTTTACGACAACGACAACGACAACGCCAACAACAACGACAACGACAACGAAGCAACGGAAAATTCACACAGGCAAAAGCTCACTTGAGCCTTCGGCTCAGGTGAGCTAAAAAGCAATCATTTTCTTCACCAAAAACCTTGTAATGAAATCTTTTTCTTATCATTTTATAAATAATGTTAAAATAAGGTAAAGGACAATGGGTAGATCCAAAGAAGAGTGAGAAAAGGATAAAAAAGTACTCAAAATCATTGTTTTATTTTACCTGTATGGCAAGTTGCATTAGTGCATCTGGACTCATTCCACTTTTCTTCACGTATTTCTTGGTGTATTTGTAATATTCCAGGTGATCCACATCCAAACTCTGCATTGTTGCATTGAACTTTTTAACAGATTTCTGAAGGTTATCCTTCATCTCTTGATCAAGTTTAAATTCTAGATAATAAAAAAAATTATAAAAAGAAGAAAAAAAGAAATTAATTCACGAAGAAAAATACAAACTAAGGAATATATAATTATCCAATTTCTTTAAAAGCTGTGCATAAACCCAATCCTTTGAATTTTTATTTGATATCCTATAACTAAACACTTTGCATATATCAACCAATTTCCAACCAATTTTTAAACTCTAAGTATTAACCAAACCAAAATCTTTTCAAATTCTTCATTTATTTTAAATTTTTTTCAGAACCGTCTCTATCATTTTAATCCATTTAAAAGCAAGACCTATTTAATAGGCATACTCTAAATCAAGAAGTATTGCAGTATGCAGTCACAAATTTTCTATGGAAAGCCACAACATTTTTTGAAATTCCTTTTAAGACAAACAATGGAAATCCGAGAAAAGTGTAAAATTTTCAACCTGTGGATTGAATTTATAAAATAAATTGTGTTTTTGCATAAATATGTACATGTATGTTTACAATACTGCCTTACAATACTGCCTGATTTTTTTCTAAGAACTGACTACTTCTCCTTTTTATCTCGTGCTTTACTTATACAAACTTATACCAAGTTTCTTGACATTTGCTGGATTGTCCTGTACTGGAGTAGAAGGATGTACAACAGACTTCATTGTAGAGTCATCAAACACCTCATTAAAGTATCGCAGCACTGCCACTCCATCACCCCAAGCATGCTCAAAGTTCACACAGGCATTACCGCTGCCAGTCATTATTAGGGACAAACTTTTATCAAACCAGCTGAAGAAAATATATCAAAAGCAAAATGTTCTCATTGAATCACTTTTTGAACACAAATTAAATACATTTTAAAAAAAAAATATTTACTTCCTTTGTAAGTTTTTTTCCTGCTAAGGTAAGCTGGGATTGCCCCTTAAATCTCAGTTTATAAAGTGTGATTCAAATACTAAGTATATTTTATTCATTTAATATACAAATAAATATGATTGCAAAGAGGAAACAAATGCTAATAATTGTTCTCTCCATATTTTTTTGGAATTTCTAAAGTCGAACTATAGCAAAAATATTTACCGGTATTTGCTCAAAGCTCAAAGCTTTCAAACTTATAACTCTGGAACAAAGTCTGACATTTAATGAAAAGTATAAGAAAACATTTTTTATTCAAAATCACTGCACAAAAATTACATTTGGTGATCATAAAATACAGGCTTACATTCTTCCAGCTTCTCCATGAAGAAACATTCTGGTAATGGCATTAGGGTCTGTTGGTTTACCGTCCTCCAGGCAAAGGGCAAACACCGCAGAATCAATCAGCTTCAATGTCTCCTCATTGCCTTTAAAAAAATTATTGTTTCAATCATAACATTCACAAATGATGTCTGCTAATAGATTACCTTTTAATCCATCCACAATTGATCAACAAGCTTCCCATTATTGTATAAAATTCTAATATTAAACTAAATTAGACTGAGATTAAAATGTCCAGATATTAGTGAATTTAAAACAAAATCGATGAAGAAGGATACTGGTACTGACTTTCAATTAACTTTTTGCTGGGAAACACCGTTTTCAAAATACCAAAGCTCAACTTCATTTCTCAGGTATGCATAACACATATTTTATTTTCGTGATTAGAATATTAAATAAAATCATAGCTAATTAATCTGTAATCTGCTCCTTCCAGTGTAGCGTTTTACAGAAAATGTGCTTTACATTAAGTTCCCTGCTCACCCAGACTGATGAGTTTTTCCCTGTAGGAGGCCCACACGTCCCTGTCCTCTGCAGTAAACACAGCTACCGGTTCTGTGGAGGGGGGACTCTGATCCTTCATGATCTGATTAACACAAGACATTATAACCCCTGGCTCAATTACGTGTCCTAGAAATAAATTTTAAACCATAATTACGTCTCTTGTGTTCATTTTCAATGCTTTTGTAGTAAAAAAAAAATGATAAAGAATGAGCACTATTCCTAAATTAACAAAATATATTCTGAAAAGAAAATTATTATTATATATGAATCTTTAAAAAAGAGCATAAGAAAATTACGTTACAAGGAAATCTTCGAATTTCTGCAAATTTTTTGTCAATGATTTAATCTTAATTAATAGTTAGTACCCAATTACTTTTTGTGTGTTTGCTTTTTTTTTTTTTTTTTTTTTTTTTTTTTTTGTGATGTTAAAAATAGTTCTGCGTCTTCATCTAATAGTGTTTTTCAACTTCAGTCTTGATTAAACATAATGAAAAGTCATCAGGGATCCAACTCTAATTGCTATGAATATGGTAATCTATATTTTCTCACCATCACTATCCAGGACGTCAAACACATAGAAATGTCCATTTCTCATTACCAGCATATGTTTTGCCTCTTTGTTCACAACTAATTCATCTTTTCCACGTCTGTTTAAAAGAAAACCTTAATTAAAATACATCATTGTCTAAATCTAGCTAGTAAATTTTGAAGACCATAATAATTATTGCATTACCAACAAATTTAACAAAATACAAAATATGTAAACAGAGAAGAATTATTAAAATTCTAGGAAAGAAGATTGTTTTCATCAAATATTAAACACCAACATTTGAAAGTAAAAACGTTTTTTTATTTGAAAATGGTTTAGGATTATAACAGAGCATCAAACTTTTTCATATACTAGTATATTTGCTATACTTAACTGTATGATTAAGACGAAATGTTACTTACCTTGGAATTCTCGTTGAATTGAATAAATTTTTATACTGGCTCATGTCTAAAGGAAAAGCTTTGTAGAGATATGCTCCATAGAAGGCAAAAGAAGACGGAATCATTCTGTTTGAAGAATAAAATGCAGAACCTCAGGTAATAAGAATACATTTCAAAGATTGCGCGTACAAACTGATCTTTGAAAGCAAATCTTTTCTTTAAACATAACCTGTTACATAATTTGTGCAAAAAAATCTATAGTATAAAAGCAACAACGTTCTAACTTCAATCCAAATTAAATGAATAATTCAAAATGTTTACACGGATGGAAATCAATTTTATTTTAGAATATATTAAAATGATGTATAATTTCAATAAGATTCTAGAATTGTCACCCAAATAGGTTGAAAGAGAATCGAAAAACCAGTTTTCTACAAAAAGAAAAAAAATCCAGAATATCTTCTATATTTCCTTCCCTTACTAATTTAATCAAAGTGATTAGTTTGTAGATGGGGATATGACCCCTACAAAAACAGTTTTATAAGAAATCCTATTACATTTTACATGGTAGTAAAAATCATTGTAGAAGTTCACCGATGATGTGTTGATGATGTGCAGTAGTGTTTCGTATTTTTTAATTCATCTTCGGGGGGAGGGGGGGGGGGATTGGAAGTCAAAAAAATGATATAAATAAAAAAAAATGGTTCCAAAAAAATTCCATTCCATAACAAACCATGCAGGAGCAGAGCAAATATGGACCTTTAAAACATCAGAGATGGGATCAGGTACCGTGGAGAAATGGTCATCCCCTGCACATCGGTAACATTCGCCATATGCTCCTTGTCAGGATCGACAAAAAACGGAGGAAAATCCGTTGACAATTCAGTATGTAAATAATGGACTAACAATTAGTATAAAAAACGTCAGTCAGCATTTGAATTAAAGATAGATTGTACCGTATTTGCTGACAAGATCATTGTATCGTTAATGGTAATCTAACTACTCAGCTGTATGATAAATGTGATGACTAACTTTTCAATCGTCAGCTTCTCTGATACTTATGCAGCAATGTAGCTTCATTACAACGTGCATATGGGTTTTGTATTTCTCAGTTGATTAGATACGCAAGAGCATACTCTACCAATGAACAATATCTAAAATAAGACAAATTATTGACAAAATGCTGAAACAAGAATATCAATAGTCTTGTTTAAAGTCATCATTTCGTGCGTTCTATGGTCGATACAATGACCCTGTCAACAAATACAATTCATCATTAAGGTAGTCCGATCCTCAGGTTTATAAAATTAGCAGTTAAGTAATCAAAAATACTCATAAAAGTATCTCTGAATCCACAGAGTTATGTAAATTTATCCACAGTATTTCTTTAAAGTTAAAGATTAAGTTAATCATATTATATAGGGAAAATTGTCAAATCTCCAATATTTTTGAATAAAATGTGAATTGGAATATCACTAATGCATTTTCTAATTGCAAATTGATCAACAAATATATTTTAGGTTAAAAAATGATAGGTATCCAGGCATTCAGAGAAAATGTCATGATTTTTATACTTATTTGGTATTTTTGTTTTCTATTTCCAGCATGTATTCTATAATACATAGTGTAGAAGGCTTTTGCTATCATTGAAAGACACCACGAATCACTTCAAATTTCATGTCATGCTAATAACATTGATATCTAAGGCTGGATTCAAGAAAACCTTATTTCTATAAAACTGTAATATTTTTTCCCCTTTTATGAAGTACAAATTTCAACTTTTATAAGACCTTTTCTAAGACTTCCAAAAACCTTGACTCTTATAAAGATGAATAAAATGAAAATTGTTGCATGAAAAAATTTCATTTTCAAGCTTCATTTTGATGCATTTCAAATTAAATAGTGTATTAATTTTTGGAGTTATCCTTCCTGGCTGAGGATCGGTTATCCTTTAGTAAAATGCTGACTGATGTTTTTCATACTAATTGTTAGGTCATTATATATGCACTGAATTGTCAACAGATTTTTCCATTGTCTTCCTATCATGACAATGAGCACATGGAGGTGTGACCGGTCGGCAGGGGATACTCCATAGTATCTGACCCATCTCTGAATTTTTGAATGTCCATGTTCGCTCTGTTGCAATTTTATATTGTCAAGTGGACTTTTGAGCTTGAATACTGTTCATTTTGAAATACATGTATAGAAATATTTCACAATAGAACTTACGAAATGACTTTACATGAGACTGTTGATATTTCTTGTTTTTGCAACTTGTTTTTCAATAACTTATCTCATTGTAGCATTGCTCAAGGTGTTGCTAAAACGCGGAACGGAAAACGGAACGGAAAGCGGAACGGAACGGAAAACGGAAAATATTATTTTGGATTTAATCACTTAAAATACACAAATTTTATCATAAACGATATATCTTGTACACATTCAATCCCCAACTAATAAATACAAGTTGATTTTGTCATGCTCAGTCGCCTGTTTACGAAAATCGCGAACATAGCTGTCACCTGAATCGAATTTGAAAAAGGGGGGTGGGGAGAAAAGAACTTGAAAAGTATTTGACAAGCAAAAAAGGCAAAAAAAAAACCCACAATTGTTTGAATCGGGGGGGGGGGGGGGACAAAACACAAAAAGAAAACAAATGTTTGGTTCGGGAGGGGGGATAAGTTCCAACTCCAACATCTTTCAGTACTATTTTTTTTACACTAACTTACTTCATTAATAACATTCACAAAAAGTGTGAGGATGTGAACTTGAACAAACATTTCCGTAGTAAAAAGGTTTGACTGGGCGTAGCAAATATTTGATATCTAGATGAACCATGGAAAGAGAAATAAAATGCAAAAAAAATATATATATATTAAGGTTACGTTTAGGGCAAACCTTTACGACAAGCTCGAATAAACATCTCTTATACACACTGGTTGTTAAAATTTTATTCAAAATAGAGTCGTTTTCTGGATAGGCAAAGTTGGAAAACTTTCATGTGGTAGATATATATAGTGCAGAATCTTTGCATTCAATGAAGTTAAATTTCGTTTGTTTGCGGTACACATGTGTGTATGTTTGGGGGGGGGGGAGGTGTATATGAATGAACCTGTAAAAAATAAATTTGTTTTCCCGCTCATCGGAAAGGTAAGAGAAGTTGTAATAGGTCTCCCCCCCCCCTTTTGTGTCCTAAATATACACAAGGTTTAATAAAGCAATTTTTAATGTGGCTGTGGGCCCCAACACAGACCCGAAACTGCCACTCCCCCTTTCATGATTCGCGAATTCGACACTGCGTGCATAAATCTGAATATCATAACGAGTTATTTTTTGTCTTTACTACAGACATTGACATTGGAACAAATTGAAAAAGGGGGGGTCAGTAAAAAATTTCCGACATACAACAAATTTGACAAGCAAAAAGGGGGATATGTCCTATGCCCAAACACGAAAATCCTATTTAATGTGTGTGTTTGTGCGCGTGTGTGTTTGTGTGTGTGTGTGGGGGGGTTCTTTCAGTACCACGAAGGGTTTTTAGTACGACTCATGAATATATACTATATAGTTTACAATAATTTTTATTAGAAACAACTCTTACAACAAAAATATTGCTCTTTTATCTTATTTAAATCGAATCTATGTTATTTTTTTTTGACAACATTTTTCCGTTTTCCGTTCCGTTCCGCTTTCCGTTCCGTTTTCCGTTCCGCGTTTTAGCAACACCCGCATTGCTCATACCTAGGGCATGGTCTTGCGTTTTGAATCAACTGAAAGATATCAACCCTGCATGCAGATGATAAAGGTATATTGCTGCATAAATTAGGGAAGCTGACTATTGAAAAGTTAATTAAAGTCATAAGGTTACCGTTAACGTCTTTTTCTAGTAAAACATTCAAATATGAAATAAATGTGTCAGTCTCTGTTCCTTGGTACCTTTTATACCAAGCTCACTGGGATTTATATCGTTGTGACATAGGAATAAAAATAAATATTTTTAATATTTAATATGTAGTTGAAATATTTATACACATGTGTATATATCTTAATGATGAGTTTGAGTTTGAAGGCAAAAGCAATTGTTTTCTTCTTTTCATGATTAAGAATTTAAATAAATTCTCTTCATATAAAACAAATCTAGGTCTGCTGACAAGGAGTGCAATTGGTTTGCATGGAAATCATTGGAAGAGCTGACCGGTATCTAAAAACAACATCTAGTAGATATTGTTTATCAGAAACTTAAGAATACTTTTAATTTGAAACTCAGAGTACTAGTTTGTACAATCAAATTTTACAAATGACCAATATAAAGGTAAGTAAATTTACAAGTTCTATTTATATTGAGATAGCAGCATGCTGACAATGATGTCAAAAAGACTAGTCTAACTTTCATTTATTGTGGGGAATGGTTGTATATACAATGATGTATAGATTTAAGAAATCATGTTTTTTATGTTATTGATCAAGATAAAATTTTGTGATCCTTAGTTCCTTAGATTTTTTAAGTTTCCAAATCTGTATTTTTACAACCTCTCAAATATATCATTGCACAGTATATATTTTAGTCAGGTGTGAAAAAGAGGCTTAAGAGAATATTCACTGGAACCCACTATGCTTCTTTGTTTGGAAGGATTTTCTGAAGTTCTGGAATCCATATAGAATTCAATTTTGATATTTACAAACGTGCTTTTTGTGGTGATGACTTTTTTTTTCTAGAAATTATTTTATATTTTATTTGGAAACCAACCATCTTTTGAAATATAATTTGGTACAATGAAATTATGAAATTTTTATTTTATTTTTATTTTCCCTAGTTTGGGATAATTGGATGAAAATGACTTTTTCTACAAAACCATTACTTATACCAAAACTTTGTTCCAAAATTTCCATCAAGAGAAATCCTGATCATATTTTGTATATGATAGGTGATGCACTGGTTTCCTGGGGCAAATTTGGGGTGCCTTTGGAATACGATTGAAGATGTCCTGAAGATGGGCAATGAGTTTTGAAATTTTTATAGGTTAGGTCATTCACATGTTATACCAATGTTTGACATTATTGAAAAAAATTACGGTAACTTGAACTCCCTTTATGCAGTGGCATCATTACGTTCATATTTTTGGATATCATGCTGATGAGCAATTTTTGGGATTTTCTTTACCCTCTAAGAAGTTAATTAGGAGGTTGACTGAAAATATTTATATCTTTTAATTTTAATCCCCCCAATCTTTTTTTCCAGAGTTCCATGTAAGAATTTACGGTTCTTTAAATTACCAAATTCAGTACCAGATGGACAACATCTAAGCATTTTTTGTCCCCCGCTTTCGCGAAAGCGAGGGGACATTAAATCTCATTTGTCTGTCTGTCTGTCCGTCAGTCTGTCCGTCACAAAAACTTTAACCTTGCCCATAACTTTTGATTTAGTGGAGCTATGACTTTCATATTTCACATGTGTATTCCTTGTGACAAGACCTTTCTTTGGGCATCACCAAATCTGACCTTTTGACCTTGACCTTGGAGTTTGACCCACTTTTACACAAAAATTTCAAACTTTTACTTTGGCCATAACTTTTGAATAGTAGGTACTAGGACTTTCATATTTCACAAATGTATTGTTTGTGGCAAAAACTTTCATTGGATAACAACAACCTTGACCTTTTGACCTTGACCATGGAGATTTACGTACTTATGAAAAAACTTTAACCTTGACCAGAACTTTTGAACGTTGGGGGCTAGGGCTTTTGTACTTTACATATGTAATCCCTGTGAGAAGACCTTTCATTGGATACCAATAACTTTTACCCTTTGACCTTGACCTTGGAGTTTTAATTACTTTTTAAAAACTTTAACCTTGGTCACAACTTTTAAACAGTACATACTCGGACTTTAATATTTCACATATGTATTTCTTGTGGCAAGACATTTCATTGGATATCAACAACCTTGACCTTTTGACCTTGAGCTTGGAGATTTACGTACTTATGAAAAATCTTTAACCTTGACCATAACTTTTGAACGGTGGGGGCTAGGGCTTTCGTACTTCATATATGTTTTCTTTTGAGAAGACCTTTCGTTGGATACCAACAACTTTTACCCTTTGACCTTGACATTGGAGTTTTAACTACTTTTAAAAAAAACTTTAACCTTGGTCACAACTTTTAAACAGTACATACTCGGACTTTAATATTTCACATATGTATTTCTTGTGGCAAGACATTTCATTGGATATCAACAACCTTGACCTTTTGACCTTGAGCTTGGAGATTTACGTACTTATGAAAAATCTTTAACCTTGACCATAACTTTTGAACGGTGGGGGCTAGGGCTTTCGTACTTCATATATGTTTTCTTTTGAGAAGACCTTTCGTTGGATACCAACAACTTTTACCCTTTGACCTTGACATTGGAGTTTTAACTACTTTTAAAAAAAACTTTAACCTTGGTCACAACTTTTAAACAGTACATACTCGGACTTTAATATTTCACATATGTATTTCTTGTGGCAAGACATTTCATTGGATATCAACAACCTTGACCTTTTGACCTTGAGCTTGGAGATTTACGTACTTATGAAAAATCTTTAACCTTGACCATAACTTTTGAACGGTGGGGGCTAGGGCTTTCGTACTTCATATATGTTTTCTTTTGAGAAGACCTTTCGTTGGATACCAACAACTTTTACCCTTTGACCTTGACATTGGAGTTTTAACTACTTTTAAAAAAAACTTCAACTTTGAACACAACTTTTGAACGGTAAATACTAGGACTATTATATTTCAAATATGTATTCTTTGTGGCAAGTCCTTTCATTGGATATCAACAACTTTGATCATTTGACCTTGACCTTAAAGATTTACGTATTTATGAAAAAAACTTTAACCTTGCCATAAATTTTGAGCAGTAAGGGCTAGGGCTTTCATACTTCACATATGTAATCCTTGTGAGAAAACCTTTCATTGGATATCAACAATTTTGACCCTTTGATCTTAACCTTGGAGTTGACCTACTTTTAAAAAACTTTTTACTTTGGCCATAACTTTTTAATGGTCAGGATTAGGGTTTTCATCATTAAAAAAAATCAACTTCAATGTTACTTTCTAAATAAATGACATATGATAGGATGTTCATATTACACACAATATGTCATAAAGATAACATCTCACCCACAAAGACACCGAAAGCGGGGGACCACAATTCTTTGAATTTGCTTGTTAATCTAGAAAATACACACATTGTAGTTGAATCATTTTAATTTACTAGGGTCGAAATTCAAGGGCAATTTGTGAATAAGGTTGACCCACGGAATCGAAGAACAATGGTCACTGACAAACAATGATGATTCAATAGTAAATTATGGGAAAAAAACTAAAGTTACTTTCTTCATTACTTACATGGGTAAAAAGGAGAATAATTTCAGAGGCAAACACTTTTGAGTAGGTATCAATGTTAAACAAAAGCGTGTAGTTATAATTAAATTATATAATCAACCCCAATACCTCATGATTTTCCTGAACCTCATGTTGTCTGACTTTGCTGGAAACAGATGATAGATATCGGGCTCCAGGATATTAGCCCTCAATGTCTTCATGAATTTTAGTGATGATACAATCATATTTGTTGAGCGAATGAGCTGAAATTTTCAAAGATCATGGGATACAATAAGGTAAAGTTCATTAGTCTGTTCATTTTAAAAATTCTACTAGTGTGTCTTGCACCTCATCATGCTGTCAAAACGCATCCTGAATTTGAACATGTCTCATTTCCTTTGAATGAATACAGTTTGTACTAACACTGTACTGTACTCTAATCAAAATTTACTGCAGAGTCAAAAGTGCTTTAGGAGAAAAGGCATATATGAAAATGACAGAAAATGAAAGTTAATGACAAGAAATGTCTATAGCTTCAAATGTATAAAGAATCAAACTCAATTTTGAGATAGAACAAAGTAATTAGATCATTTAGTAATAATTTGAAGGCATGAAATAATGACAAGCAAAAATTTTCTGCCCAAAAAATTCTTATTGCAAAAATTATATTATGGTATACTTTTTGATAGAAATTAAAAAGAATCTGGAGTATTTTATTTTTTGTAAGTTATTTCTTTTATTTTTCAAATTTTTAAAATAAAATTTTTTTTTTTTCGTAGAAAAATCAAATTCAGAATTCTGACTGACTGGGAATTTAGTAAGCTTGTATTAGATATACCTGGTTCTGATATTCTGGCCGTGGGTCATCTTGGAAGGACATGAAGGGATTGTAATTCAATACAATGGGTGATCTGGACTTCAAGTACATGTCAAACCATGGCTCTGAAGTTGAAGAAAAATTTTGCAATTGTCTCAAATAGGGCATTATGGACTAACACTTAAATAATCAGTTTATGTCAATCTATAAAAATCACCCCTCTTGGTTATAACTTCTAGAAAATATCAGCATTTCTTTCTACATTCTTGGCTTTGCTACTGATTGATTTTAATTCACTTTTCTAGAGGAAGAATGAAAACATCAAACTCTTTTAACAATAATATATTCATGTAACAATGAACAATCCAGGGAACATCAAATTTCAAATTTGAAATGGAGACAAGAAAATAAAAAAATAGAAACATTTCCTTGACAATCAAAGAAAATAAAAAGTAAACCATGATTTTTTTTTTCAACAGAGAGTTTCTTTGGGACAGGAAAAAAATGTAAAATGAAATTATACATTTTTTCTCTCATTACTTACTTGTAATGTAACTTGTGTGTTTATTTTGTTTATCTTTAGCTATTAATCTCTTCTGTAGATCTACAAAAAAAGATAAATGGAACCAATAAGGAACTGAAATCTTTTGAAGAAAAAAAAATTAGAATTCAAAGGATTACGACAAATCAAGTTTCTGTATGTATGAAGAATATACCTGCATGCAATTGTTCAAAGCATTATATTATTTATAAATATAATGATTTGAAATAATAATACATGTATATGTGTATTTTTTCTGGTAAATACAGTCCCTGAAATGTTCTACTTTCCCACCTGAACGGTGAGCGAACGGTGAACGAATGCAGAGCGAACGGTGAGTGAACGATGTGTGAACCCTGAACACAACTTGGTGAACTATGTGTGAACATTTGCTTGTATAGGGAAAAATTTTAATGCAATAATATGTATTCATTTGTTATTTTTATTTTTTATGATTATTTTTTTTAGCAAAGTTTTACATGTAAATGTATATCTGAAGACATTTCCCGACCGTGATTATACTCGGACAAGATAATAGAAAGAGGCATTCAAATTATTTGTAATAGATTAGATTTTCAGAATTAAATAATATAAAATAATATAAATAATAATAACTAAATAATAATATACATGTTCTCATAGTTTTTATTTAACAGGACAAATGTAAAAGCAATAGAGACGAGAGAGAGAGAGAGAGAGAGAGAGAGAGAGAGAGAGATGTAAGCCCCCTTGATTCTCAGATATCTGTTGCATCGAATAAAAATTCATATAATTTTTTTCTAATATTCCAGGCAGTCAAAGTAATCAATTTTTTTTGAAGATTAACAAATCCATTTGACAGTAAGCATCGGTTTTATTTTCCTTCATCAAGTTCACAGGTTCACTCGAAGAGCATGTGCTTGTCCTGTCAATCAAAATAATTCGACACAATGGAGGTGTGGAAATCTCGCTTCACCGAACATGCCGAAGTCAAAGAGTCACTTAGTATTTCCAAGAAGTTTAAACATTTTTTACATCATTTCTACATTTGATTTTCGCTTTTCTACGGAAAAAATAAATAAATAATGGTAATACATGTATATACCTGGAAGGAGCCAAATCAAAATACCACTGTCGGCACATGTATTTATGTAATGACTGTTTTGATGTTTCTTTTAAGAATGTTTTTTTGTGTTACAATACACATTGAATATTAATTAATATATGTGGCAAACATTGAATGGCAAACATATATTTAGTTACGGTGAATGAAGTTTTTTTTTCCTTTCTAATAATACACTTTATATATGCGAAGTAGAACAAAAATTCTAATTCAATTCGGTCTACAAATAGATTAGAGAAGAGAGAGAGAGAGAGAGAGAGAGACCTATATGTAGTTTTAACATGTTTTCGTGCATTTTTTCTATAAATACGTGTTAGAAATAATTTTTTTGCGTATTCTTGTCTTGTAAAAGACTTGGATTATTATCCATCCATTAACGATTTGTTGTCTTTTACATTACAACAAAATGCCGGGCTTGAAGTATTTGTACATTGTCCTTATTTAAATTTAATATTTTAGCATCGTTCTACTTACATGTAGGTTCTTAGTGTATTATTTTCCAGGGAAATTTTATGGATAAAGTCAGGCTTGGGGTCAATTACTTTGAAATGTAATTAATTACTTTCAAATACATTGATAATTTTGTCAATTACTTGCAATTACAATTACATTGATTTTTTCAAATGTAATTAATTACTTTCAATTACTTTGACAAATGTAATTAAATATATTTCAATTACTTCGAGTTTTATTTTTATAAAGAAAAAAAAAAAGAAGATTTTTTTAAAATAAGATTTTTTTCTATAGCGATCGAATTCGAACTTTCATTCAGTGTTTTTGTTCTTGGGTATGGTAGGGGTTCACACCTGGTCAAAATTAGACCTTTACCTTATAATTAGTGTGACACACTGTATAAACAAATTAAACATTATGAGCCACTTAATTATTGTACAAACACAAGCCCATGCTACACCAGTATGATGTATGGCAAGATCTTTTTGTTACTTTCTCAAATCCATATTTTTGAAGGAAATGAATTTTTATCTTAAAATGAATAGAATACAGGTAAATCTAAAAGGGGATGTAGTTAGTCTAATTACTGTAAAACAAATTAACTATCTAAACAATCATTGTTATTTGCAAGTGGGAATAGGGAGAACTGAGATTTATAAAACATGGGAATAAGTAATGTAAACCCACCAGTATAAGACAATGTATCAGTATAAGACACCTTTTTTAAATATAAACTTTCATTTTGAAAAAAAGTAATTGAAATGTAATTGAAAAGTAATTGAAAATACATGACCTTTTTTTAAATGTATTTAAATACATTCAATTACTTGTAATTAAAGGCTTGCTCAAATACAAATTACTTCCAATTACTTTGAAAAATGTAATTAATTACACTCAATTACAATTTCTTTATTCAATTACCCCATCCCTGGATAAAGTAACAGCTAAGATATAATAATAGAAATATAAATATCGTAGATACTTTTTACATTGAAATAATTATTCTTCAAACATGATATCTTAGTTATTTAATTAAAAAACATGTAAATCCTTACCATCAAAAAGATAAGTCCTTTCACTTCGGAGTTCCGAATGACAATAAAGACTGAATGATAAGTGAACGGTGAACGCAAAGTGAATGCAAAGTAAACGGAACGAAGAGCGAACGGTGAACGCGAGCGCACGGTAAACGGTGAACGCAAAACTGTGAACAGAGAGTGAACGGTGAATGCACACTGAACGAATGGTGAACGAACGGTGAGCGAACGGAAAAATGGGAAAATAGAATGTTTCAGGGACTGTAAGATTCCTAGAGTTAAACTAATAAAATAACTCTTTTTCACAAAAAATATTATTTCATGTACCTGGACCTTCATTGGCTTTAAAATTGTTCACAATGTCAGCTGTTTGATCATATTCATCATCAGTCAGTATTTGCCGTTGACACTCAAGGTATTTGTGTAAGGTATCCTCTAATTGGGGGATCGGAAGTCTTGGAAGACTGGCCTGAAAGTGGTCAGTGGGTAGAATGCTTCTGTGTAGAAAGTCTCTGTCTGATGCAGAGCTGTCAAAATATTTTTTTAATGACATTGAAATTATGACATTATCATATAACTTTGCTAAGGGTCTCTTTTAAGCATATTTCCCATTATATATTTATAACTGGTACCAACAAACAGAACCATTTCCAATGCAAAAAAGTTAATTATTTCCATTTTATAACCAAAAATTCTTCATTTAACTGCAGAGGAAAAGACTATAATGAAAATGTAATTCTTTAATTGACATGTTTTGACATTGAAGTTTTGCAACATCCTAATTCAAGCAATATACACTTAGTCACTAACACATATCTAAATTCAAATAAATTTCTGCACTTGGCAATGTGAAATTATTTGTGTTTCAAAAGTAAAATTAAAGCTGAACACTGTTCATAAAAGGAATGTGTCTATATCTAAAGACCCGTATATATAGGATTTGGCTTAGACACTGTTCATAGTAATCAGTCAACACCTGCGCAGACACTACTAGACAGACAGATCATTTTACAGGTCAGTCTAGTATACAAACAAAAACAGATACATGTAACTGCAATAAAATGCAAACAAAGGCAAGGCAAGATAACCAGCACGAACACGGGTCACCATTCCACACCCATACCCCTGACAATAAAGCAGTCAGGTGTAACGAATGTGAAGGGTATACCCTGGTGTTGGTGTGTTGTAGACAATGATATTGGAAATGGTGTATGCCTATTTACGATTCGTGTTCAGCTTTAACAATGGTGAAAAGTAATCAGTAAACTTTGAAGTTGCTATGCCTGTAATAAAGAAATTGCAAATAGGATTTATTACTCTACCTGTAACTTTTGAAAGCATTGTCTACTGAAGATGTCAGAGGCTGAAAAACAAAATGGCATCATCTAGATCAACTTGATCTGTTGAACTTAAAGTGAAACAAACTATGTATCTATGTTTGAATCAGAGACATAAATAAGTTATTTATGTCTCTGCTTTGAATAACGTTATGGAAAAAAATTCAATAAGGCATTATACGGAGCTTAGTAAAATACAATTACCTGTAAAAGTCTGAAGTGGCTATTCCCAACACAATATTTCAGACTGTGTAATTTTAACATTTTCTAGGACGTTTTTGGTGAAGGATCTTCTGCAGCCGGTGTAACCCCTCAAACTGGAAATATTCTGCAGCACAAAAAACTCGAAAGCAAAACTTGCAATTGATTTTTTTCCGGGATGTCTATTTTATGAAGATTCTCGGTAAATATTTATTAGACGTATCAAAAATTAATAATCCTCAATGATATATTGCAAGGTGATTTTCCACATTTTTTAACATCTAAAATCTTCTCGAATTCGAAATTAATTTTTTTTAAACTCTCGGGATTTTCGTCGGGTTCGATAGTCTAAAATTTGAAGATCAGAATGGCAGATAAATGCGAAGAAAAGGATATATTGAAGTATTCTATCAGTAAATGGTCCAGTTTTTCATACAACTATGTTCCAGAGTAAGAAAACATTTTACTTTATAAATTTTTACCAAATATTTTTAATTTTAATTTATTTTCTTACTATTTTTTGGTGAAAATGAAGTCGACTCTAACAACAACATTTGTGTTACTTCTGATCTCCTGCAGGTCCGCATTTAAAATGTTTAAATAAACATGTTCTTTTTTGTTTTTAGAAACATATACAGTGATAATCCAAAGGACCAGTCTTCACGATGGTCCTCAGACTCCAACCACCCACCTCAGGTACAGACACAGAAAGGGGGGATTTTTTGTTATAGAGGCCTGAATGTGTCTTTGAACAGACATTCCCCATAGTTAGAGCACATTACATCAGTCATAAAGCAGCACGTTAGAGTGAATAAGTCTGGTGGTGATTCTGGAGATATAAATTATTCTGCACTAAAAATTTAAAAAATATATATACATGTGCCACATTAATCAAACGAACTCTCATATCCTGGTGTTGATATGCCTTCACAACACAACATTGGGTACAAGTTAAAATGGCACTTGGTGAAAACGGCACTTGGGAAAAGTCAAAATGGCACTTTTTGTATTGTAGGATTTTGATTTTGATGAAACAGAAAATGCACTTGAATTAACATTTGTTAAAAAAAATATATGTCAGAAAAAAAATACTTCCTCTGAAAATTTCAATAGTGTACTTTATACTTTTATACATTTGTTATACAGTTGTTTAATTTCATCTATCTATGTAGAGGGGAAAAAATAGTAGCAAATTTAGCTGATGTGATTTCCACCCTAGACTTCTCTGTCATAAATATATAAGTATATTACTGACCATTTATTTTGAAGTTCCTAATGCTAAAGCTTGAAAAACCAGCCATTGTGGAGTGTATTACTTTTGGGAAGTATGAGAAGGCCCATGTCTGTAATCTGAAAAAGTTTAAAGTGTTTGGAGGTCTGAATGATGAACATATGATAGAGTTACTAGAAGGGTATGATATTTAAATCCATGTGTACTTATCTAACTATTTTAAAATTCAAAAAATGAAGAAAAAAAAAGTTTACTCAGCAAAGAATTTTTAAGCTTAAATGTTTCTTCACCCATAATAATATTTCCAAAACTTAAGCACAGAATATTATTTTCCATATATAAAGTATACTTCATATGTTGTAAAAACAATTTTAAGTGAAGCTTTTCTTTTTGTTGTTGCAACTATGCACATTGAAGCACTGTAATTTTGTTAAAGCTTGGCTGATGAAAATAGATTTTTTAATGCTTATATTTAACTATTTATTGTAGTGGTTTGAAGAATGATCATGTTCCAGAAACTTTTCCCCTTAAGAAGGAATTGCATGAAAATGTCTTTCCATGTAGATATATTAAGATTGGTATGTATATTGGTATTTTATTTTTGTATATACATGTAATTTAATATGATATATTCTGATTTTGTTATAATTCTTGGTACATGTGCTTTGAAGCATCATTGGGATAATCACTTGCCTGAGATATTTTTGTCTTTTGAATTCATGCAAAAAAAGTTTTAACATGTTTAAGAATATGTGTACAAGATATAAGTAAAGACTGTACAACTGAGACTTTATAATTTTAAAATGAAAGATGTTGAATTTCATTTTTGATTGAGACAAATACACAATGTGCTTAAAAAACATATCAGATGAAGTGCATTATTATTTGTTTCACACTGCTTTTCTTTATTTTATATTGCCTATGTTTCTTTTTCACAGTTCCCCTTCAGGCATGGGGCCCTTCCTGTTTTAATTTTAGTATCTGGTATGTGAAACTTCAAGGAGAAAGTGACTGGGATGTAGTTCAACCATGTCTTCAATGGCTGGTCACAGTAAGTGACAACTGATATTGAAATATGTTTGTTATTGTATCTTTATATTGAAGAAACAGTTAATCATGATTTGGCATATATTTCATTTTCTTCCATACTGTAATGAAGAGAGACTTAAACAGACACTACATGCTATTCAATCAGATTTCTTTTGATATACCATAATAATTGTATTTATATATATTGTTTAATTGAAAAAGTCAACATGTTACTTGGAAAGAGGGTCATCAGAAATGTTGCTATGTACATATACATGTATTTATGTATTCAAATTATTTATAGATTACTGTAACTTAGTTTATTATTTTCTGATCCTTCAATTAATAGTTTAGAGAGAAGGAGGCCATTAGGCTGTGTTTGAAGCATTTCAGACAGAGACAGTATACAGAGGCTTACGAGGCCCTCCAAAAGAAAACCAAAGTCTCTCTGGAACACCCCATACTCACAGAACTCCACTCCATGCTGGTAGGTTGTCCATTTACCACTCTTTACATAACTACAATAAAATATGCTTATAACAAAACCAGAGACTAAGGATTTTGTTTCATTATATTATAAGTGTCATTTATTATATACTACCCGTCAATTTTACAATACATAATAAAGTCGCTGGGAATGAAAATCACTTCACTGTAAGTGTCGGTACATTTTTGGTGTGTTAGTTATAACCATATTTTATATTACTGTATTACAGAATACAGGCTTTCAAACTAAAAAAATGGTACAGTTTTTTCTATAGCAAAAACATATTTGGATGGATTTATAAATAAATTGCATTTAATATGACAATTGGTTTGAAATTTGAATATATGTAGGCTCCATGGGTTTAATTGTTGTTTTCAGGTTAAACATGGTGATTTTGAAAAGAGTGAGGATTTACTGTGGCAGGCAGCAGAAGGTTGGTTTTGTTGCAAGTTTATTTTAAATTATCCAAATATATACGCTCATGTCTTACTTTGAAAAAGTATTAAGGTTTAAAAGATTGAATTATCTTTATTCATTAATGTACAGAAGGTTTAAAAGATTGAATTATCTTTATTCATTAATGTACAGAACTTAGAATGGTGAAGAAGAAGAAAAAAAGAATTAAAGAACTTAAAATATGTCTTTGTTTTTCTTTTCTGTTGCAGAGGGACTATTTGATCAGTATATTTGTGACCAAGACTATAAACCAAAATGGACCCCCATAGAACCAATTCCCACAGGTATATATGCAATGTGTTGTAATTTCTTGAAAAAAAAACTTTTTTATCTGTTGAAGTCATTTGAAAAAAAGTTACAGTGAAACTTGTATTAAGCAGTCACCTACGGAATCCATCAAAAGTGACCTTTATAGAGAGGTGACCTTTGAAAAGAGGTTCATCTTTTTTTAAAAAGAATTTATTTACAAATTTAATATGTCAGTTTTGTGTTTATATTATGTATTTCACCACAAAATCTACAAGAAAGTTAGGTATTGGACATTAGTGATCTCACTTGAAATATTATTTATAATCTTACACTTACAGGGTGTTGCATTATCCTCCGTAAAAACAATTTTTTTCTTTGTGTAAGGAATGAATAAAATCAGTTAAAAATTATTTTATCTAAACTTGATTCATAAAATTAACCTCTGTACATGTATTTTTTTAAATACATGTACACAACTGTCCATGATTTGTTGTATAATAAACTCTCAGACATACTCTCAGTTGATCAACAGGTGCACAGGTGTCCTGAGCAATGAAGCGTTATTAATCCCTAACAGTCATTTCCTTTGTGAAATTCACAACATACCCAAGCCACAATGTGTATATAAACTGTAATTATGGCTTCAACAAAGGATGCAAGTTTCCTAGGTGTGAAAATTATTTAAAATGCCTATCAAGCGTAATACATTTACAACTTTTAGATCATGTGGAGTTGGGCACGATATCGACACTGTAAATAGTAAACAAAAATATCATTGTCATTAATAGATTAATATAGTTCATATGTTGTTATTTTTTAAAACTTAATTAAAAATCCAGAAGTCAAAAGACCCTAATAATCAGTTATCGATAATACTATAGTAATCGTTTTTTTTTTTCCTGTTAACTTTTTTCGTCATAAGCATAGTTGTTCGAGTTTTGTAAAATATAGAAGCAGTTAGTTTGTAAAATGATTCTTGAATATGCTTATCCAGTAAAGAAATTGCTCTGTTTATTAATTTTTATTCACGATCCCGCAACAATTGACTGATTATTTACATTAGTAACAAAAATCGGGAATCCCCAGATCAGGTATGATTGGACAAAATGGCCACTGTGTTCGTTTGAAATTAGGTGACCGCTGACCGTGTTACGCAAAAATAGAGTTACTTTATATAGGAAATTTTTGGGAAGAAATAAAATGACCGCATAGGACAAGTGACTGCTGGATAGAGGTGACGCTATAACAAGTTTGACTGTAGTTACAATAAAAATATGCAAAGAAATTCAAATATCAGATTCAAAATTTCTGAATGCCCATGTTTCCAAGATGAATAATGTTTTGGCAGGCTCAACAATTTCAATTTTTTAAAGCAATATCTAGGTTAATTTTGAAAAAATTACATTTTAGAACCAATTTTTCACCAGTTACGTAAATATTTGAATTAAAATTATAATTATATAATACTGTATACAAGAAATTTCACCCCCATTTTATTTTCGCCCCTTTTGCCCTCACCTTGGTTGGGCGAATTTAAAAAGGGGCAAATTCAAAGAATACAGTATAATTTCTTTAAAAACAAAAGTGTGACTGGGCAAATTTTAAACGGGGCAAAATTGTTTGCAAGATCAAAAGGGCGAAAATAAAGCGGGGTGAAAATAACCCTGTATACAGTAGAAATGTTGGTTGAAATATTTGTTCTATGAGAACAACAACCTTTTTTGTAGGAGAAAATCCTAATGCTTACCAGCCTGGAATGAGGGGAGGTCACCAGATGTGCCTGGATTTACAGAATGGTTAGGCCTGAATATAGTCATGTAGTTTACTGGATAAATGATTTACATCTACTTAAGTTTGACCCCAGTGTCAAGGGGCAAATGACTGATGCAAAAATATTTTAGTTTAATTTACCCACAATCCCAAAAGGCTTTGTATGTAATTGGTGAGTATATTCAGGGTAGATGGTTTCTAATTTTTATATTAGAGAAAGAATTCAGCAAGAGCATTTGACATAATTATGGTCAAATTATAGAAATTACAGAAGAAATTACAAAAGAAGATATTCTCATTGAAAGAAAACACAACATTTATCAATGAAGAATGGATAAAAAACCGAGATTCAAAATGGCTTCAAGAAAACTGCTAACAAATATTTATATATAGTATCTGTGATCATAAATTTTCATTCCAGTTCTCCTGAAAAAAAATTGATATGTAATTACTTCAAACCTTGTAAATGTTTTAAGAACCTTTTATATAAGCATGTGGAGGGGAACATGTCATTTATCAAGGTTTCTTGTCATTACAGAGAATCTATACCTGTTTGGTGGGTGGGATGGGAACAAAGACTTGGCAGATTTCTGGGTGTTTTCTGTGCCTTCAAAAGAATGGACCTGTTTAAGCCAAAATACAGAAGCAGATGTATGTTAAAATTCCTAAATCAGGAAAAGCATTTGAGAGTAAAACATACAGTCATGTAGATACAAATTTTATCAAAAGTTGTCTAATTAATAGATTAGCCAGTTGTCAGATCCTGATTTCATATTCATGTTTAAGTATCTCCAAGTTTTATATAAGTAAAAATGTTGAAAATTTCAAATTTGTAAAAAATTTCATGGACAAAATCAGACCCTTTAAACTTGTTCTCTACCTGTTTTTTAAAGTGCTGTTTATGAATTGTTTTCAGAGTTAGTTCCATTGGTTTAACATTTGTATGATTATTTTCAAGTACGAGTTTTTTTCTTTAAAAATATAATGGGATTGGTCAGCAGGCATTCCTTATTTTTAGTCCTTTCCATACATATTTTTATTGTGAATGATTGAATGTTTAATTTCAGGGTGGTCCAAATGCAAGATCTTGTCACAAGATGTGTTTAGATTATGAGAGGAAGCAGATTTTTATTTTGGGGAGGTATTTGGATTCATCTGTCAGAACTTCAGACAACCTCAAGGTAAGCTTGATAGTATATTTATAGAAAGCTCGAATTTAATGCATACTCCATATCTAAAAGTTTCTCTTTATACAACTTTATCTTATTTGTTTTTACAAGTCATTTAACTTTTTAGCTCATTAAATATAATGTTGAGTTTAATTCATGATCTGCAGATACATGAAGGTTGTGGCAACGAGGGAATCTAGACTTTTGCATAGCTATTATTTTCATAAAATATATTGGGACTGTTGCTTTCATTGAACCATTGGAATCTTTGTGAGAAAAAGCTCAGTTAATTATAACCCTATGACCTAAAACTGTGATGGTCACTAACAATTCTTTAAAAAAATATTTCTGTCTTCACAGAGTGACTTTTATATGTATGACATCAACTCAGACAGATGGACTTTAATCACAGAGGACACTCATACAATGGGTGGACCCAGGCTTATATACGACCATCAAATGGTCATAGATATCGAAAAACAAACTTTATATGTATTTGGAGGGCGTGTTTTAAACAGGTGAATTATATAAAGTTAGGTTTTTTTTTTCCTTTTAAAATTTTTAAGGATATAGAGCTGTATAAAATACAAGGTGTACACATTTTTCAAGCATATTCTCTTTGATGTGAAAAGAAAACTGCATTTTTTAAGTTTTACATAAGCAATTGAGCAGTGAATATTTAATTGATCATTTCTGACTACTAACTGTATATAGGGTTATTTTTGCCCCTTGTTATTTTTGCCCTTTTGAACTTGTGAACAATTTTGCCCCATTTTAAATTCACCCAATCAAAACTGTTTAAGAAATTATGAGGTGGAATTTGAGTTCGCCCTGTTTTAAATGCGGCCAATCAAGGAGAGGGCGAAAGGGGCGAAAATAAAACGGGGCAAAAATTTCACTGTATACAGTCATTAAAATTGAAGTGAATTAAATTAATTTTCTTGGAGAGGGATTTGGATTGTTATATTCTTGTAATGAATGAAATGTTTAGTTTTTTATAAAGCTTATCTAAGAATAATTTTATGAATTGTATTCTATGATCTCAAGCTAGCTGAAGTGTAAATGAAACCATTAACGCATTTTAAGAGCAGTAATACTTGTAATATAAAGGATTAACATTCAATGTGTATGCATTCCAACAGTGTTGGCTCAGACAGGGGGAGTGAGCATTCGTTTAGTGGCCTTTATGCTTACCACATTCCCACCAACACATGGTCTTGTATTAAGGAAGACTGCCCCACCCTGAGGTCAAGGATAGGTCACTCTATGCTCTTCCACTCTGTAAGTCTGTTTGTTGTGTGAGAAATATCTGCAAAATATGGATTTGTTCACATCAGCATCCAGTGCTGTGTACAAACTTAAATTTGTGACAAATGATATAATTATATAAATTTCCAATGCCTAACTTATTCTGAACAATTGATATGTGTGAAGTTGTAATGTTATGTTGAAATGTTTTATGAGGAAAGTAAACTTAATTAGTTCAGCAATATGTACTTTTACAAGCATTGGCAAGAAAAAAAATGTATCAAACTATTGTTAAACATGCACAAACTTCAGCAGTCCAACTTTCTTTTTTCTCCTCCTAGAAACGACGACTATTGTATGTGTTTGCTGGTCAAAGAGCTAAGGAGTATCTGAATGACTTTTTCACCTATAATGTGGATACAGGACTGATAGATATTATCAGTGATGGATCAAAGAAAGATTCTGCAGGTATGTTTACCTACTTACTTATTTAGTCCTTTATATTCTTTGTGCTTTGAGTACAGAAGGCCTGTGTGAAACTCAAATACATATGAAATTTAAATGCATATTTTTCCTTAGTAAAAGAAAAAAGTTCTTCAGTTATTGATATATCATTAAAAAAATATTGTGTAATAAGTAGAGTTAATTATCTGTCTTTGTGAATTAAAGATTACTGGTCTGCTTCTTTTGCTCTGAAGGCAGATCAATCATATCATTCCGTAGATTACTAATTGAAAGCTATAACAGGTGGCAAAAGTTTGTACTTTTATACACCCGAAATTTTATGGACAATGTGACATAAGTAAATGCATTTCTATAGTGAAAATGAGATTGAGTGATTATACATGTATATGGTATATGATATGATAAGGCCTATTGTGTCTTTTCTTTCAGTTCCATCAGCTGGCTTTACACAAAGAGCTACCATAGACCCAAATAAAGATGAAATACATGTGTTGTCTGTGAGTGAATAAAGATAAGGAAATGAGACAAAATAAATCACTTAAAAGCTTCAAAAAAGTTTTTGAATTTATGGAATGAACATAGTTATTCTTAACATATAAATAAACAAAGCTGAGAAAATGTATTCCTGAGATAGCAGATTGACTGGAATTATATTCGTGAGACAAGTACATTGTACAAATTATAACTCTAGGAAATGTAAGATTTGATTTATTTGTAAGAATTTTGAAATTTCCTGAAGTAATTTCTGCTTATTTGAAAATTTTAGGGCCTTAACAAAGAAAAGGAGAAAAGAGAAAATGTGAAGAATTCTTTCTGGGTATACAATATTAAGAAAAATAGATGGTAAATGAATTATTGTTTCATTATTTCGGGAAAGTATTTTCATTCAATGAATAATGTGTGATATGATTGTGTGGAAAACAGTTTCATTTTTTTCTGAAATATTAGAACCATCTGTTTGTACTGAATGTCAGGCCTAGATAAATAAATTGTGTTTTTCAAGTTCCCCGACCAACCCTTGAATATATATATGCCAACGCATTAAAATGTATCCACTAATATCTATCCAAAAGTAAAAAAAGAAAAAATGAGTTTTGCTATTAGAAATCTTAATTTCAATCACTTCTGTGTATGAGAAAATGCATATCCTATACACATTCAGCAGAAATGTTTTGATAAAGAATTCTATGGTAATCAATGGCAGCCTGCTTTCTAATAAAATGTTAAAATAAAAAAAAATGTTTTCCCTATTTTTTCTCAGGTTGGAATAGGAAACACAGTATTTATTTATCTTGACCTAACAAGGAGAAATGAGAAAATATATTGGAATTTGTACCTGTGGAAAGTTAAAATTATAGACTATAGTGAAAAGAAATCGTACTGGTCAAGAAATAATGAAGTGTAGTCTCACCTGTTGTTATTATAAAACTGCCAGGTCGTGTGTGTACAGAAATGAGAACAGTGGGCAGCAGTACTGGACGAAGATGCAGAATGTAGAACCAGTACCAAGATTTGCCCATCAGTTGGTTTACGATCATGTCAGAAAGGTGGGTACCTGTAAAATGTTACTAAATATGGAATATATGTTTCTTCACTTGTGTAAGTTAGGATCAAGGTCATAGTTGATACTATTATTGTAGAAAGTAGACAGATACACATATTTATTCATCGGAGAATTTTCTTTCAAAGGTAAATTGACCATGAAAACTACAGTGTACTTCAGTAACTTAATTTTTTTTATTCAGTGGTTTCATATATAAGAATATTTTATGTCATTGTATTATGATCTCAGTGTATCATTTTGTTAGATACTGTAAACCAACTTACATTAGTGTGCAATAAATTTTCGCGAAGTTCGCGAGAGCCTTGTCATCGTGAATATTTCTTGCCATGAACCAGTCCTTAAAGTCTCTGTGTCTATCATACATGTAATTAGCAACAGATCCAAAAAAACGGTTGATTGTGAAAATAAATCTTTGCAAACTAGTTTGTCCCCAGTAAATTTCGAAATAAAATCGTTGTGAATAAAAGTTGGTTTACAATATCATCATTCACATTTATTGAAAATTGTTAGTTAATACTTACATATATTTAAATATGTACATGTAGATAAAAATTGTCTTGTGGAGAAATGCTGTTGATCAGTTGATCATCCTGTCTGTATATCTTAGGTTCACTACTTGTTTGGAGGTAACCCTGGAAAAGAAAGCTTACCTAAAATAAGGCTGGATGATTTCTGGGTATTAAAGGTAGGTTATAAATAAGCATATTAATTTTATATTTATCAAAAACATTCTAATCTTCGAAAATGTGCATTATTTAAAGTTTGATCTTAGCCACTGTTATTGGCTGCTGTTGATGCCCATCTCCTCCAGCCCAACTGTAACCACTCCGCTTAGTAGTTCATCTCCAAGTTGTTTTTGGCTCTCTTCCCTCCTTCTTTCTGAGCACCATGTCAGTGTGTTAGTACAACTCCTGGTGCTTTCAATCCTTTGTACATACAGGTACATCGCAAGCTCTCTTGATATTATTGTTTCAGTTCCTTTCATTGTTTTTCTTTTGTGAGGTAGCTCCTCATTTGATTTTTTTATCTGGTCATCTAACTCTCAGTATTTTTTTTTTCAGTCAGATGTTCTGGAAAGTGCAAATTCATCTACTTTTTGTCTCACTTTTTTCCCATATCTCATTTCCATACACAAGGACTAGCAGAACTTAGCTGATGAATAACTTCACCTTTGTTTGAATGGAAGATTTAATTCTGTCTGAGCCTTCTAATTGCGATTCTGCTTTCCCCAAGCTTGTTGGTATTGTCCTCATTAGACCCTCCCTTTGTTGGTTTCACACTTCCAAGGAATGTACTTGTACATCTACATACTCTATATCTTGTCCTTAGATCGTAGCTGGCTCTTTTATGTCAGAGCTGAGTCTTTTGTTTCCAAAACATTCATTTCTGAAGTCATTTCGACTTACATTTTTATCTAGTCTTTGTGTCTTTTGACAAATGTCCTGAAATTTCAAGGAAAGTATAGTAAGAGTATTATTATGTTTTACAAATGTTTCACATTAGATGAATATGTTGCATTTTTGGCAAAAATGAAAATTTTTTTGCAAAAAAATTGAAATAAAAGTACATGTATACACATTTTAAAAGGTGCAAAAGTCACATGTCTGTTGCGAAATTTAATATTTTTATCCACAAAGATTATCTGTAATGAAACAATATATTTTTAATTAGCTACGTAGGAAAATGAGTTCAATGGACATATTAAAATTGAAGATGTAGCCACACAAACAATTTTTAAAATTGAAAATTTTAAAATAAATTTTAATGATGTTTGGTTAAATTTCAGTTGTGTAGATTGTCATCAGAACACCTATTACGTCAGTGTAAATATCTACTGAGAAAGTACAAGTTTCAGGAGCTTGCGGAACACAATCCCCACACTGCCATGTTGTACCTACAGAATGATCTAGCCAGTATTGTCGACCACAAAAATAAAAAAGAACGGGAAGAGGTATCAACTTTAAAGCAGTTTTAAACCACGTGAAGAAATATTAATGTAAAGAAACTGAAAAATGCAAATATAAAAATCATGAAATAAATTAGTAAAAAATTAGATTATGGATCACTTGTGCATAATGATATATGATATGCTGTGGTATTCAATATGCTTTTTTAGCTCACCTGAGCCGAAGGCTCAAGTGAGCTTTTCTGATCACATTTTGATCACATTTCGTCCGTCCGTCTGTCCGTCTGTCTGTCTAGCTGTCCGTCCGTCCGTCTGTCTGTCCGTCTGTAAACTTTTCACATTTTCGACTTCTTCTCAAGAACCAAAGGCCAATTTTAACCAAACTTGGCACAAAGCATCCTTGAGTGTAGGGGAGTTTAAATTGTTAAAATGAAGGGCCAAGTCCCCTAACAAGGGGAGATAATTAAGAAAAGACAAAAATAGGGTGGGGTCACTAAAAAATCTTCTTCTCAAGAACCACTGGGCCAGGAAAGCTGAAACTTATGTGGAAGCATCCTTGTGTAGTGTAGATATCAAATTGTTAAAATCATGACCCCCGGGGGTAGGGCGGGGCCACAATAGGGAATCCAAGTTTTACATAGAAATATATAGAAAAAATCTTTAAAAATCTTCTTCTCAAGAACCACCGGGCCAGGAAAGCTGAAACTTATGTGAAAGCATCCTTAGGTAGTGTAGATATTAAATTGTTACAATCATGACCCCCGGGGGTAGGGCGGGGCCACAGTAGGGAATCCAAGTTTTACATAGAAATATATAGAACAAATCTTTAAAAATCTTCTTCTCAAGAACCACTGGGCCTGGAAAACTGAAACTTATGTGGAAGCATCCTTGTGTAGTGTAGATATTAAATTGTTACAATCATGACCCCCGGGGGTAGGGCGGGGCCACAATAGGGAATCCAAGTTTTACAGAGAAATATATAGAACAAATCTTTAAAAATCTTCTTCTCAAGAACCACTGGGCCAGGAAAGCTGAAACTTATGTGAAAACATCCTTGGGTAGTGTAGATATTAAATTGTTAAAATCATGACACCCGGGGGTAGGGCGGGGCCACTATAGGGAATCCAAGTTTTACATAGAAATATATAGAACAAATCTTTAAAAATCTTCTCAAGAACCACTGGGCCTGGAAAGCTGAAACTTATGTGGAAGCATCCTTGGGTAGTGTAGATATTAAATTATTAAGATCATGACCCCCGGGGGTAGGGCGGAGGCACAATAGGGAATCCAAGTTTTACATAGAAATACATAGAACATATCTTTAAAAATCTTCTTCTCAAGAACCACTTGGCCAGGAAAGCTGAAACTTATGTGGAAGCATCCTGGGATAGTGTAGATTCTAAATTTTTAAATCATAAAAGGGAAGGGGGTAGTGGGGCATGTTAGGTATAGCAAGAGAGGGAATCTGGTAGGAACTGCAACACCCAAGTTACTCAGGTGAGCGATGTGGCCCATGGGCCTCTTGTCTATAATTTCTTAATAGAATTTAAAAAAAATCTTTCATTTATAAAGATTTATTAAGTGTAAATATCTGAATGTGCTATTCCAAAAATAAAAATTGTTTAAAATAATAACAAGTTATCAAACTTTCTACAATTTTTATAGAACATGTATTTCAATTCAATTTTGATGTTTCCATTATCTAAATGTGTTGAGTTTGAATATTATATTTTTAAAATTACAAGTAGATTATATTTCCTTATTCTTAGTTTGAGTCCCTGGCTACGACTTTGTTCCAGAGCCCTGAGGATGAAATAGAAGGAAATGAAGGTAAATATATGCTTGTACTTTATACCTTTCTGAAGACATTAAAATGGAATTCATAATTTGCTTATGAAATAGACTTAATTTGGATGGAGTGTTTCTTAGGTGTTTGATTTATGACTAATTTATGATTTTTAACAAAATAAGATTAAATTTCTAAACTTTAAGGCAATAAATACAAGTGAATGCTAGTGTATTCAACTTATTAGCAAACAAGTGATTCTAAAATGCAGAATGTATTTCGTTCAACAAGTGCATCAGAGACAATAAATTGTAAAATACCTTTTGCAGAGGCTATATTGGTAGATACTAGTGAACATCACATGGCTAGGACGGAACTATTCGACCAGTTAGTGGCCTTTTTCCCTGAGCACATGTCTCAGCCTAAAGGAAATCTTGTGGACCTTATTCCTCTGACCTGATATTCTGCAGTGTGGTTTATATATAAATGGCATCCCCAGTCCCTAAAATAAAAAAAAAATGTTGGAATGAAATTAACTGTTTGCTACATTTTAGCTTATCTGTGCCAAAAATTTAATGTTATTATACATCTACTTTACTTATGAAAAGGCGATGAGGTACATTACTTTGCTAAAAAGTAACAAGCATACCATGTACTTAAAAATATATATTTGGAAAAATAATTTGATTTTACTATTTAATTGCTCTGTTTTACATACATGTGTATGGATGTATGACCATTTTCATGTCATCGTACATGTTAAGAATTTTCATTGTTAGTTATATCATTTGTTTATTTAATGATATAACAATAAGAATGTGATGTATTATAGTATTACCAACCAGTCATTATAGGAAGTATAAAATAATTACTGTTGCATAATCTAGTACATGTTTTTTAATTCTTCCAATTTAATTTATTGACTGATGTGTTTATTGACTAAATACAAATATAGTACACTATAGTACTTGTAAATATGTGTTGTACAGATTTGTACAGAATTCGTTGATGTATATCAATAAAATTTAACAATGTACTGGAACAGTACTTTTCAATCTAAAATGTATTACCTTTTTTCTTAAAATGGGGATGTTGAAACCTTGTACAATCAACAAATTTGACAGTAGTATGTCTTGGTTAAAAAAAATTGATCCTTCTTAAACACCATATGCAAGTGATGTTGGAATATTTAAGAAATAAAGCCGTGTCATTGTGAATTTTGCATGATAACCTCCAAGGTCGAAAAATGTTGCCTGAAGTATAAAAGCTGAGGCTTTTATATTTCAGACATTTCTCGACCAAGGAGGGTATCCTGCATCAGTCATGACAACAAGGACTTTATTTCTATTCTACTAACTGCTCTAAAATAAGGCTGATTGTTCCTCTATAGAGAAACGAATTAGGTCACCATGTCGTGATTTGCTGTTCCGTTTAACACCAGAGGGTCAATTTGTTTGTTTACTTGACTATCGATTGCATAAAATGCAGACAATTTCTGCTTTTCTTGTATTAGAATTATGTTTGATTATGAATCGGTTTGTTTGGATCATGTATTGATTATTTTTTATGAATGTAAAATAACAAAATAATTTTTCTTTCCATTGCCTTTCAGTAAATCATGGAGTGTAAATGTAGTTTAGACACTGTTTAGACTGCGTAGGACGACACATTGATATGGTCTAAATAAGTATTTGATTCTACATTGAAATATTTTATTTCAGCTGAACAGGTTTGACTTATGTTTCTGATCATAAAAATGTCAGCGTCATTTCTTTGATCTCGGCAATAATCGTGGTAGAATACTGTATAAATACGGAAAATTTGCACATTTAGTTGTTTTATTCATCCCGTTTATAACATAGTTTATTTAAAAGTTAGGCATTATCCTCCATATTTAGTAAACGTCTTAATATGAAACAGATATGACAGACTCTGGCACTCTGCAGTGTCTTTTATATCGAAGGATGAGGTGACTTGCGGCCCCCGGTGAATTGACAAAAAATTAAATGTCTAACTTTTACTCAAATTTTTGTATGTACCTAATCACTGATATGTGTATCTTCATAGAATACTATTTTTAACAAAAATAGAAATGTGATTTGAAAGAGATAGATCTTTTATTGGGGTAGGGATATCATGTTTACATCCAATTCCCATTGCATTTTAACCCCGCCCCACTCTTTGAAGCCCTTAAAATATACGAGCGCAGGTAGGTACAATTTTCTCCTTTGGTTGGTCACTGTATTTTATTGAAATCTACGTACATGTGAAAGGAGAAAATTGTACCTAACTGCGCTCACATGCTATTTTTTAAAAAAAATTGTAAAATCTAGCTGGCCTTCCCATTATGAACAGATCGCCGGAACTAGATTTTCTGACGTAAGAATATATTCATATGCTAATCGAGGCACTGGCTCTACTTTCTCACTGACCAATCAGCTAAATGAAATTCGTTACGAGTGAGTACTACAAAAGTACTATGGCAACATGCTTGGAATTTTAAGATTAGACACCGATCTACTTATGTACAATTTCCGAGATCACAGTAAAATTTACATACAGTTACAAACAATTGATAAATATACATTAGTTTAAAGTTTTGTAGCGTGTTTGGTGAGCAATTCACTAGGTCTACACGTATTCCCTAGTATCAGTGTATACAAGTTGCATTTCTTGTCCTAAAAAATGCAAATGCTGAAAATCCATGCGTATTATAAAGTATAAACAGCCTTGGCTGAACATTATGAAGGTTTGAAATGTAGAAAACTATAACAGGTAAATTGACCTAAACCACGTATCTGTGATAAAATGTAAACGTAGTATACCAGCATGTTTTGTTGTTCTGTCATCGGATTGTACAATGATTATGTGCGAAGTAATAACAATAGCCATATAAGGTCTTCTGAGACACGTATATCCCTCTATTGTACTATGACCCGCCCATTCTCTTGCCATAAAAGAACATATTCTCACAAACCTGGCCGAATTTAGCTGTGGTAGGGTCTAAAAAATTAAAGATAATGCAGTATTCCTTATAATTAAAATGTGTCTGAACTATTGAAACTATTCAAAAGGCGTCTTATTTATTCACTCATGTTTGAAAACTACCAACATCGTTGTAGATTAAATATAATTCGTCGTGGAAAAAGGGGCCCCAAATAGCAGTTATGTCACATCATCCTTTACTGAAATTTTCGAGTCGAAAATACAAATAAAAGTATCAATGTTTTATTGAGGATTTCTTTGAGGACAGTCTAAGGGTTGGAAAGGGGATCGTACTTTTTCCAAAAAATGGCAAAACTTTATTCAAAAGTTTTAAAAAATATATACTTATATCGATTTTTTTCCTTAGACCTAGTCAAAATGATATTTAAATATAAATTTATCATATTTCTTTTATTTTCTTGCTAATTTAACTTAAATAAATTGCAAATAAATATGATTTATTTTTGGAATCTAAAAAGTTAGCTACACGATAGAGGACAAGTCAAGGACTTACTTAGAAAACCTGTAAGTTAAAATGAGGCGTATATTTTTGCAATTTTTAGCTCTACTGGTCAGAGACCAGAAGAGCTTATGCGATAGTAATGCGTCCGTCCGTCTGTCTGTCTGTAAACAATTTTTCAAAATGCTACTCCTCCTACAGTTTTGGTCTGATTTCAATATAACTTGGCACACAAGTAGACTACACTAAGATACATAATTCTGTGAATCGGTTTTTGATTTAGATGAACGGTGTTGTGGTTGTTACTAAAAATGGAAAATTTTGTGAAATTATTTCAAAATGCTACTACTCCTACAGTTTTGATCTGATTTGAATATAACTTGGCACACAAGTAGACTACACTAAGATACATAATTCTGTCTATCAGTTTTTGATTTCGATGAACGGTGTTGCCTTTGTTACTTAAAATAGAAATTTCTGTGAAATTCTTTTAAAATGCTACGTCTACTACAGTTTTGATCTGATTTCAATTTAACTTGGTACACAAGTAGACTACTCTAAGGTTCATAATTCTATGTATCGGTTTTTGATTAAGATGAATGGTGTTGCCGTGGTTACTAAAAATACAAAATGTACAAACCAGTAGACCTTCAGTCTCGACAGAGACTTCTGGTTTCTTAATCTTATATTACAACATATAATCTATTGAAAATATTCGTGAACGTACTTCTAATCAGTCGAATCAATAAGAAAAATTCCAATGATGCAGATTCACATTTCGAAAAAGCAGGAACCTCCTTTATAATAGACTTTATAAATAAATAGCAAAAACGACATATTAAATTCTTATGTATCTATACCTATGTGGAGCATATTTATTATATCGAGAGTGGCTCAAATTATATAATATTCTAGGAAACAATTCAACATTAAAATGCGTCTCCCGTTATGTAAATTATCCAACGTTTCCAACTATCGTTAATTCTCTGGCATACCGAACAAACTGGACAATGATTCTGAAATACCCTCTTTCACGTGTTAATGCTTCTTTTATTTTATACATCGCTTTACAAAAATACTGATTTCACGGAGACTTTGTGCGCATTGATAAGAGATTTTTTTAAACAAACAGATATGGATAGTATTCAGTATCGTGAAACTGTTATCTTGAGATGATTACATAACCACTAAATCTCCTTTTTGTTCCTTTGTCGACGACAACATATCACAATCGTGAGTACAGTATTTTTTTTCTTGATCATTTTTCATTTAATCTTTCATTTTTTTTTTCAATTTTATAAAAGCTGGACAGCGTTAAACTTAAGACGTTAACATGTTGACGTTCCTACGCTAAGCACCCGACGTAAAAAGTCGCATGTCTTTCTATATGCTCTAATGAGACTTAAAAAAAACCCAATGTCCTTGTCATTACATTGACATGATCTAGATCCCTCATTGCTCAACGTCCCTACGTTTTGAATAAAGATATAAGAAGCCATTCACCTGTAAACGATGACGTCTTTAAATGAGTGAACCGATTTTCTAATGAGAGGTAAAGCAACAGACGACCAATCGATCATATAAAAGAAAATATTGCTCTAGTTCCGCAAACAAAATATACTGCAGTATTTCATAGAGGACAAAGGCAAAGTGGTGCATACTTAATTGTTTTCCAATTTTCGACTAAATAAAAAAGTGTGTTTCAACCAGAAGTCTCTGTTGAGACTGAAGCTCTACTGGTTTGTACTTATAGCAAAGGAAGAGAAAAGTACTTAATCACTTGGGAATTGAAACTTAAGGAGTAGCATTTTGAAACAATTTTTACAGATATTTCTATGTTCAGTAACCACAGCAACATCGTTCATCGAAATCAAAACCCGATAAACAGAATTATGTATCTTAGTGTAGTCTACTTGTGTGCCAAGTTATATTGAAATCAGACCAAAACTGTAAGAGGAGTAGCATTTTGAAAGAATTTCACAGAAATTTCTATTTTTAGTAACCAGGGCAACACCGTTCATCGAAATCATAAACTGATACACAGAATTGTGTATCTTAGTGTAGTCTACTTGTGTGCCAAGTTATATTGAAATCAGACTAAAACTGTAGGAGGAGTAGCATTTTGAAAGAATTTCACAGAAATTTCTATTTTTAGTAACCACGGCAACACCGTTCATCGAAATCAAAAACCGATACACAGAATTATGTATCTTAGTGTAGTCTACTTGTGTGCCAAGTTATATTGAAATCAGACTAAAATTGTAGGAGGAGTAGCATTTTGAAAGAATTTCACAGAAATTTCTATTTTTTGTAACCACGGCAACACCGTTCATCGAAATCAAAAACCGATACACAGAATTATGTATCTTAGTGTAGTCAACTCGGCACCTGGTATACTCGGCATCTGGTGAACTCGGCACCAAGTAAAGTGAATTCGGCACCAGGTATATTTGGCACCTAGTAAACTCGGCACCTGGTTAATTCGGCATCTAGTTAATTCGGCACCCATTTTAAACGGGTTACTCTTCACTTCTTTATTATATTTTTTATTGCCAATTTATTCAATTTTTCTAATATAAGAAGTGAATTAATTGAAGATTTGCGATTATTACACACTTTTTTTTTAATCTTTCTCTAAATATGTATGGAAAGAAATAAAATGTTACAGCAGCGAAACATTCTCCATAACAAGTAACATACTCGGAACGGATCTAGAAAAAAATATGATAATAAGGAAATATATTTGATATCGATTTTCATAACTTTTCTACTTCCAAAAAAATATTTGCGTTGCCAGTGAGTCTTGTGTGAGCACTATAATATATGGCGTTTCTGAGATAAAAAATGATAATACGAAATTGAATGTAGATGTATACATGAAATACGATGTGCGTTACATATGTTCAAATTAAAATGTGGAAAATCGTGTAACCTGTATCTTTATATAAAGAAATGAAACAAAAAGAATGATCTTAGTAACTTTAGCAATTGTTCTTGGTTCTTATTAGCAAAGTTATTTACCTCTCAGACATTATTACTCATATTTAATTATCTGTTGCCCGGAGAAATTGACCTGAAGATTACACGTAACTATAACTAGTAATTTGGTATCATGTTATTTAATGTTATTGATATGTGGAAAAAGATATAAATGTTTATGCATCTATCAGCATCTAAATCTTTATTCATTAAGCATAACAATAACATAACATTAAGCCAGTCAAAACGTCTGTAAAAATGCGTGATTCACATTGATTTACTGGGGTGGAGGACCGTAGATGGAGGCACATCCTTGGAGAAGCTGGCTTGCATTTATCCCCCTTTCACAGTATTGTTGCCACAGATCAAATATGCGGCCCTCCACTTGACGGGTCCTCTTTCTTTGATACCGCTGTATTTTCCCCTCCGACACCATCTTCATTTGCAATGTGATGTCCATCGCCTCTTTGTAGAGGACTACAATTAGATGGTAGAAGGGCACAGGTCCCCTGGTGGCCACACTTGTTTTTAATCTGTTGTGCCACCCCTCCACATCATTGTTGGTCCGGATGGCCGTCATGAAGACACTCCAGTGATGGATTTCATAGATTGAACTACGGATCCATGTTCTGTATACGTAGTCCATCACAGGAGCTAAGACCTCTGGAGCACGGCCATCCAGACGGTGGAAGGCATCCTCGATCTGTTCCGGTGGGAGGAATGGCAAGGCAAGCAGCTGGCGGACGAACTTAAAGACTTTGTCCTTTTTGTTGTACGCTGTCTGTAAGAGTTAATGAATAAAATTTGTCAATCAAATCTAAAATCATTGTAAGAGTTGTTTTCTTCCATTTTCAATAATTAAATATTGCATCACACATGAAATAAAGTTCGTTAATTACATATTTTTTATCTTTACATCAAGATTTAAATCAGTTCAATTAAATTTTACCGTGATTGCACAGGCATTCTCTAGGAAAATGATTAAAAAAAATTTTGCTAAATTAACAGTAATTTCTTTTACCTGTAAGCCATTTTCCTGGACCTTTCGGAACACGGCCTGTGTCCAGTGAAAAGCACAACCCTGGATTGGCATGCGAGGGAACCGCTCCTTGAGTGCCTGCCAAAGTGCCGCCTCAAAATCAGCCACAAATCCCTCCAACGAGATGTGTTCTGGAAGCTCTCTATCTATGAACCTCAGAACCTGAAGTAAACAACATGAATATATAAATAAATTAAAAGCGAGATTGAATTGAAAAATTACCACTAGAGTACAAAAAAAAATCCAGAAATAAAGGTAGATTAAAGATTTATCAAGAAATGATTAAGATTTTAAAAAATCAAAAATAAAATTCAGCTGGTAGTAGTCTTCTTTCCTCTTTCCGGACATAATAACAAACACCAAGGGGATTTGCTTGATGTGGCTACCAGACTTAACAAAGCCGTGAATGGAAAAAAGTTGCTTCCAAGGATTGTTGACACATCGAAATGTCCCATCCATATACCATGTCTTCGCCTTAGATAATAGTTGAAGCTGTCTATCGGTATAAAATATGAGATGTCGCTTGTCGTCCACTATTAAATCTTTACGCAGAAATCCTTGGGCATGACGTTCCAAGAAATCCAGGTCCAGCTGCAATAATTGTAAATAATTTTAATACTACCTTATATGTACATGTACACAAAGTAATATATGCTGACAATTTGTTTCAGAATTTTCAGATTTAATAAAAAACAAACCTCATCTTGAAGGTCAGAAGGATCCTGTGGTCGATCCAACTGGCGTATACGGTTGGCTGCCCTGATGAGGTATCCGGGGTTTGGCCTGCTGTCAGGTGGTGCTTCCGGATCGGCATGAGCCCTGATAGCAGCATTAACTATGGTTGAAGAGCGCTGACCAAATATGGCATCTTTAGCATGCTGTCTGACCTGCCATAAGAAACGAGTTCATTTTAATATAGAAATCTTAAATCCAACAAACAGTTTGCCGGTACATTAGCACACCGTAATATCGGCCCTATTCGTGTGAAACACATATAAAAAGTTATACCTCAGCTTGAATTTTGACTGCAATCTGGGATCCTGGATTTCCTGGGTGAACTTGCAGTTTCTGTCCAGGTTTATACGTAATACCATCCTGGATGACAGTTGCGGGGCAGTTGACAGTCTTTGATCTTTTGGTACACCGCCACACCACATGGTCATTCTTTTGTTTCTGATATGGATTTAAAAAAATTGATTAAGAATGTTATAAGTTAAAACAATAATCGTCTTAAATATAAATATTTTAACAAGTATTTTAAGAACTAATTAATTACAAGAATTTTATATTTTTACCTTCACTGTGTAACTAAATCCGATGCTGTCAACCAGCTTTCGTTTTCCACGTTCCGTCCCAGAATCCACAATGAAGTATTCAACATTCAGGTCATCGATGGTTATTGATGCATCGCTTCAACAGGCACATCAAACGAACGATCGATGACGATATCCTGGAAAAAGTATTACAAGCATACAAAATAGTCCTAATTTTTCAAGTCATTTTTTTCTTTTAATTATGAATTTTCTTTTTATTTTAAAAATACATACTGTTGACCTGTCTTGTGTGATGTCCATCGAAGCCAAAGACACATGGAATGTGGCGTCAGCTGGAGGCTCATATTCAGTACTGTCGTCTTGCTCCGCAGCTTCCGCTGCAGGCATTGCAGGTGGAGATGCCGGTGTTGCGGGACGTGCAGGTGTAGACGCCGGTGTTGCGGGACGTGCAGGTGGAGATGCCGGTGTTGCGGGACGTGCAGGTGGAGATGCCAGTGTTGCGGGACTTGCAGGTTGAGATGCCGGTGTTGCGGGACGTGCAGGTGGAGATGCCGGTGTTGCGGGACGTGCAGGTGGAGATGCCGGTGTTGCGGGACGTGCAGGTGGAGATGCCGGTGTTGCGGGACGTGCAGGTGGAGATGCCGGTGTTGCGGGACGTGCAGGTGGAGATGCCGGTGTTGCGGGACGTGCAGGTGGAGATGCGGGCTGCGCAAGGGGTGGAAGAGCAGGCTCTTCATTGTTACACTTAGAACACGTCCATTCTAACTCTTGCTTGCCTTTAACATGATTTCTATACTGTGGTCTACTAATTCCTAAAAATTACAAAATTACAGTGAAAAATCGTTATAAAAAAATACTTGCGTTCAATTTAATTTTATTTAAGCAATTATTGGACACATTTGATATTTAAGAATTGAATATTTATTTTCTTACCAGTGTTGCCTGTCCTATGTTGCCACTTGTGACATTGTTCACACTGAACAGCTTCCTGTCGAGTGCGAACAATTTGGTTGCATTGATTGCATTTGTCTGTAAGGATATATAGAGTATAAAAGTAATGCTGATCTATTTGTACGAATTTCCTATAATTGTCTTAAAAAATTCGAAACACACAAAAAATGATACCAGGGTATTTACAACGTTATTTTCCCAATATACAGGATTATATTTAACAAGAAACAGATGTTCTCTGGAATCTATATAGTACATGCATAGGGATTATTTTCAAATTAACATTCAATTTGATTTATATTTGTGCTCCATATATTCATCGATTAGTCAATATGAAAAAAAATTGACATGATTGTAATTTCACTTCAATAAAAAAATTTTCAAAGCAGCAGGCTTGGTAGGAATCTACATGAGGTCGTGTAATTTGGGTTGTAAACGCACGTGTTAAATGACCAGACGTATTTTATTACCGAGTGTAGAATATTATCATTATATGATGAATTATTTTACGCTAATATGTTACAAATATAATGATAACAAAAATAAAAATAAAAATACATTTCAAGTTTTTTGTGGGGAGCTGTCGCTATACGGAAGGAAATAAATGTTGAAGCTCGTTGAATAGTTTAACAAATTATAGGAAAATAAGACGGCAGCGAGAAAATCCCAAAATTTCAACTCTCCAGTACAGATATAATTCTCAATATAGCGAGACTGAGAGAGAGATATATATGGCAAGCCAAATTCACAAATATTCCTGTTTTTACAAAATAACAATACAAATAGCAAAATCTTTTAAATTTTGTTTGTTTGTATTTATCAAAAATAGACCATATACGACTTTAATAACCCATGATGTACGTTTCAGTTCGAATTAAGAATCATAATTCTTCAATGAAAAAGGACTATATACAAAAAGAATTCATAGTTTTAAAAACCGTATCTTCCACGTACGAAGCACCGGAGTTTCCACATACAAACTATGAAAAGATCCCTATGAAAATCATTTATTAGAGGGCGAAACTCTCTCTCTCTCTCTCTCTCTCTCTCTTCGTAAATAGCGATATTAGACTGTTTAATTCAAAATGCGTTGAGAGAACCAAATTATATATTTTAAAAATATTTTTAAAATTGTGAAATTTTTTTCAACATACCTTTCATTGCTGGTTTTCGTTTGGTGATGCAGAATTAGTGACATATTGACGCCTGCCTGGAATCCTTCACTATATACCCTCCTCATTTTCTGACAACTCACAACTATTCGCCTCGTGTATTGAGGAAAGTGACACATTTAAACCTTGTAAGTTTTTGTTGGAAATTTTTACTACACCCTTCATTATATGACACCTCACTTTATTCATTGTGTATACGGGGGACACATGCATATCGTCCCCGTCCCCCTTTTGACAATATACACAATGACTTTGACAATTAAAATCGAAATTTTAATGAAAATGCCAGAACTAAAATGTGTAGATATAAGTGTTTATGATTTTTGTCCAGTTTTATTTCAAAACATGTTTTTTAAACGCATCATAAAGTTAAAAACGACATTAATTAATTTTAAAAAGAAAATCACTAAATAAAATGTCACCAAAAACGCATGAACAAAAAAGATATTTACCGAAATTTTGTAATTTCAAACAAGTGTCCGTAAATCAGGAAGGCAAATATATGAATTTCAGTTAAATAACCGGTTTTTTTTCTCTTAAAAGGCAAATTTATTTATCAACAAAGTAGTCACAAGAAAAGTATTAAGAAAAAAACTCAAGTAATAACACATATTTCGATTTATTATAGAAAGGTGCCGAATTAACCAGAATCTGATGCCGAATTAACCAGATTCTGGTGCCGAGTTCACTAGATGCCGAATTCACTTTTTCTTTGAGTGCCGAATTCACCAGGTGCCGAATTTACTTGTACCCTCGCATAAGCTCTTTTGGTCTCTGACCAGTAGAGCTAAAAATTTTGCTTACAGAGTGCGACAAGTCTTGCGTAATCTTTGTAATCAAATGGCGTTTTGTCATATGTTATCTTCACCTTACCGCCTGAAGTACATGTGTATTAAATTATCTGTGCAGTACGTAGTCTGTGAATGTTCAAACGAAGTGTTTTTCTGCTCTGAATCAATTACTTATCATTAAAACCTTAACGTACAACAAATATACGATTTGGCTAATCAGTATGTATCGAATAAAAGAGCAGTTTGCAATCCTGGCCATGACTTGTGGTACCCCTTTAGCTTTCCATGAAATAATGATTAAACTCCCATGATTTAGGATGCAAGGATTAAATTTTATGTCTTAAGTCATATTTGAAAGGTCAGAATTGTAATCTTGACCGATCAGAGTTGAATTACAATTAATTGACGAAAAATATTGAACATGATATGAGGGTCATAAAAAGATTTTTATTAAGATTAAACAATAATATGAGTCAAGCACTGGATCTGTGATTAAATATATACTGTACTGACTTCAAATTGTCAATCGGCAACTTCCCTTACTGATGCAGCAATTCATATACCCTGATTTATCACCTACATACGGGATTTACATCTCTCAATTGATTCGATACGTAAGAACATGTTCAAATTTTGGAACGAGGTAAGTTATTACCAATATGTTGATGAAACAGGAATATCAACAATCTCTTTTTCTGAAATGCTTAAAAAACAATTGTTTTTTGGGGGGTAAAAAAAAATTAGCCACTTCTTCGTGAGAGGTGACTGAACTATATTACATAATGATCTCAGATGCAGTATTACTGGACATTTTAAATTTTCACGAAGTATCTGGATACAGCAATGAATATAGGAAGTAAAACTAGAAAAATTGCATTGTTTATTCAGGTGTTTTAGTTAAATAAGTAATGTCTTTTTTAGATCTAATATTCGCCATGGATGGCTCTCTCATCCCGAATACAGCACAACACTACGTAGAGTGTGGTACATATGCGTGTAGACGATACTCGAAATTTTACTGCAAGACATGTCATCAAAGGAGATGTGAGCAGTGCACAATAGAGCACCTGAAGGATCCGAGGAAAAGGAATCATGAAGTAGTTCTCTACCAGGATAGACTGAATTTTCTACCGGAAGATAATAATCAGTTCAATGTTAAGACACATCAAGCCAACAGGTACGATGAAATCATTAATGTTCATGTATCACCTTTTCGTGGTATTAGAAAGCAATGCTGATATAAGGTGATATTGATAGTTTGATACATACACTTAATACAAAAAATGTCTTTGTGTTTCGAATAGGGGGGAATAGGGTATGATATAATTTAATGATAGAACTGTATCTTGTGTATTTTCCCCCTAGATCCTTAGCAGCATTGGAAAACTCGGACATCCCTGATACTGCACAACACTACGTAGAGTGTGACTCATATGGATGCTCAGGGCACTTAAAATTTTATTGCAGAACATGCTACCAGGGAATGTGCGAGCAATGTAAATATGAGCATTTGAAGGAGCCTTTGGGAATTAATCATGACATTGTTCTATACCAGCACAGGTAAATTTATTGTAGTCTGCTGAAACTTTGAAAACTCCTAAACTGGTTCAGTTGTTAGAAATTTCTTGTGAAGCAGATTTTAGTCATAAATTTCCATTACACATGTTATAGGTAAAATTGCAACATATATTCGTCAAAAGTTTTGAGTCGGTTGTATCATATGTTCAACATATGTTTTAAACATATGTTCAACATAGTTTTTAAACATATGTTAAACATACTGGGGAAAACTCATATATTCAACATGTGGTTCTCAAAACATATGGTGAACATACGTTGCAATTGATACAATGATGATGAATTTGTAGTTTTCTGTTTGAATAAGATATATAGAGCTGTTTAAGGGACCGAATGGGGGAAACATCAATCTGCATTAAGAAAGAGACCGAGAGTACCCTCATTAATTAATTGCAGTAATTTTTATCATAGTCTTCATTCGAATAACTGCATGGAGAATATGTATTCTAGATATACAATAGCGAATTAGAGTGGAAGTCTGCATTAAGGACACTCTAAACACTGCACACTAAAGAATTTTATTTATAGTGTAGTTTTATGCAGTTAAAGTGATCTGCCCTTAGATGTAAGATTAAAGATATTGTTATTTACAGTTAATTACATGATTTGTAATAGATTAAAATATTTTTTGCATTATATAAGACCAAGAGTAAGACATGTAATTAATTATCTTCATTAATTTTCCCAATGTAAATAAATTACAGTGATTTCTGCTCACAAATAGTCCATTGTCTTTGAACAATTTTCCTGCGCAATTAAGGCACGTACTCTATGTTCTAATTGAATGAAAAAGTCTCAATATGCATATCTTTATATGATATATTTTTCCCTGAGTCCAAAAAACAGTTTCTGTTAGTGTTTAGAGCTTCCTTAATACATGTACCGAGAAAACAAGTGTATTTTAACTTCTCGCGTTGAGATTACTTCAATAAACATTATAAATACATTTCCAAAAATATTAAGAAATGGAGGTGTAATTATTACCAATCAACATTTTACGAGAAAAGACAAAACGATCTTTTCAAACTAAAAGATAAACCATTCAAGAATTACCTGCGTGGCAGAATAGTTAGAGTGTTGCTCTCCTGCGTGGCAGAGTAGATAGAGTGTTGCTCACCTGCGTTGCAGAGTAGTTAGGAGTTGATCCTTATGTCGCTGCTTTGCCGCGGGAAATGAACAGCGTTCTTTCGGATGAGACTGTATCAATGAATGTCCCATGTTGCAGTATATATCCTGAATTGAAAAAGATACCTGACTGGTTTATGACCATAAATGCCGAGTATAGGTCTAAAACTTGCAGCGTCCCACCAGCAAATGGTGGCGTCTTTGTGTAAGTGAATACGTATATTCTCGAAGGGAATGTAAAACGAACAAACCACTTCAATACGCATCTTGTTCATAATTAATTTACATTTCCAATAAATTTCCCCTATGATTGCAGTTCATTTACTCATGAACTACATTACGTATGTACCACGAATAAGCATGAATATATCCATTGTTACGTCATAAAAAGCCGCTCTTGACGTAAAAAAATAGTGCACACTGTTTTGCTATGACAGTTGAAAGTTATCAGAAAAATAATGTAAATATTAATAAGAAATGAATTTAATTTTTGAAGATTCATGAGGTATATGAACTACAACGCATCATGAATCTTCAAAAATTAAATCCATTTCTTAAATATATAAAATGACAATCATTATATAATTAAAAATAGTAAGACTATAATTTATGCTTTATCTGTCCCTCATGTAATAGATTAATGATGTTTTATGAAGCAATGTACAACCAAATGATTTTCTTAACTTAATTCTGCAGGAGGAATCAGAGGTCCCTTGCATCAGACGCCATATATATTGAACTGTGTCGTAAGATAGGAACACAGACGGAAGTGACAGTCAGGAGGGGTGTGCAGTATCTTTCAGAGATGATACAAAAACCATTGGAGGAATCTAAAGCTAATGGATGGAGAAGTATTAGAACAGGTGGCCGTAAGGATGGATTCGAGATTGACTTTTCTGATAAAGTGAGTTCTATGCGCTGGCAATGTAACCATTACGTGATATGTGACTTTTCACAGGCCCAATCGTATAATCTACCCAGAGATACGCTTATTTATATGCATACCTCTCATACACCACCAGGATTTGCCAAATTAGAACTCCTCACGGAATCTCGATCTAGATTTGTTATTTCTTCACTTGTCAACGCGAACAATGCTGTTTACATTTCCACGTCTTTATTTAAGAAGGCCTTTTTTGATTGTTTAAAAAACTCAAAGCATCATTTCAAAAATTTATCCATACACGAAGCAGGCCTAATTTTTTATTTTACATTTACTATTGATTTGTACAGAGTTGAAAGCTTTTATTCACGCCATTGGCCTTCCGTTGCTTCACTTTGGTTTGATCGAAGTTTAACTAAGGTGTGGCCATCACGAATTGTATGTCAATCTATTTTAAAAGAAGGATTTCACCTTGTCCCTATCGGAAGCAATCTATCAGTGGGTTCTAACGACCTAGAATGGAGAATTTCATTTTCAAAAGCAGAGGAAAAACTTACGTATTCTTTAAACCATGTCCAATTTATTTGCTATGGATTACTGAAAATATTTCTTAAAGAGATAATCTGTGACAAATTACTGTGTTCCTATTTCATGAAAACAATTTTATTTTGGAAGATACAAAACAACCCGTCAGATTCATGGACTCCGTCTTCTCTACTGAAGAATTTCTGGAATTGTTACAAATGTTTGATGCATAGTATTTATAGTGAGAATTTGCCAAATTTCTTTATACCTGAAAACAATATGCTTGCAATGCAAATAAGAGGGCCAAACAAGTTGACACTTTTCCAGAAACTAGAACATTTTTACAAGATGGGGGTTTCATGTCTTCTTTACAGCCCATATCTTAGAGAAATACTTAACTCTGCCTTCAGCAATCCTTTGCTAATGGTACGGATAGAGGAATGTTACATAAAGTCAGAGACAGATCTTGATATTGCTCTTTTCATGGAAATTGATTCAGTTTCAAATTTAGAAAATAAAGTTGACGAATTTCGGGAGAATATGATGAAATGGAACACAATAGATATGCTTTATGAAAATTGCGGAAATTTTATTTTACAGAAATTCTTGTCAGACGCCCTCATTTCAACTGCAATGTCACTGAAGCTTGAAAACTCATATGGTACAAATAGAAAACGCAGTTATAAGGTTGATAGAACAATTATTCATTTATTTGACTTTGCCTCCAAAATAGGTTATATCTCCGACATTCTTTATCTAGCATTGTATTTGTATGATAAAGGTAGATATAACAAAGCCTTAAACGTTGCAGAAATTGCGAAACGGCGGCTTACACAAGGCCATGTCATGTATAACGGAAAAGTGGACCGAAAAATTTACAGTTATGTAGTTTGTGGCAAATCTCTATCAACAAAGTTAAGGAAGCATTGGGCAAGAGACATTTCAATTAATGTAGAGTTACCCTACATAGATGAACTGAAATTAGAGCAGCAAATCTGTCTGATGAACGAAATAAACACCATCAAGTTACCCCCATTAGTGACGTCACATATGTTATGTGTGTTATGTCACTACAGACTACGTAATAGGTCAAAGTACCTAGAGTCCCTGACAGATCTCCATACCTTGTTGGTCTGCGACAAAGGTGTATATGTTCCTGTACAATTAAGAGATATTTCTTGGCAGATCTTGGGAATCTGTCAGAATCTTGTGGGGGATTTCGAAAGAGCGCTTAACTCCTATATGGAATCAATTGAACAAAATCAACACCACAAAATCAAGAAAGCTTCCGAGATTAGAATAGATGAGGTATGCAGTCAATTAAACTCGCAGTAAAATAGGACTTTATTTCGCTTATGTTGATATTTATGAATGCACTTTTGAGTGCATCATTTCAATAAAATAGTATTCACTGGAAAAACAATCTTTGGAGGATGTTTTACTGCAGAAGACAAGAATTCGTAGGGACTGTGGACTTGGAAAAGTAAAGAAAATTCATGTACATATAGCATGCAAAAGCTTATCCTAATAATAACTCCAGCTGCTGCGAGAAAACCAAAAACAATCAAAGAAAATGGGAAGAATTACCCTTATTATTTTAATTTGAAAGCAAGATATCGATGTTAATTTTGACATGGGAATAGGGTGACGTTATAGCCAATGATCTCAACGCTCCATCGGATCTAAGTATGTTCGAAAATTCCACTTAAGTGCATCTAGGACATTCTGGACTGACGGGAATTCTGCAGAAAATCTTACTATATTAATATATTGGTATTCCAAGTAATGATGCCTAGGAAAGAATATCGATCGATAAAACATTGAGAGTGAAAAGGATATTCTTTATAATGTAACGTGCGGATGCGCTAACTGAACTGTCTTCAACAAGTCAAGAACTCCATTGAAAGTTTATAAATTTATTTTACAGGACACAGAAACAAAACAATACTGTTCAACATTTCACAAAATCTCTGGTGTTTCACAATCTCATAAAAACCTCTATAACTGGAGTCTTATCCAGTAATTAAATATTTCATGTGCAAGTCTAACTCTCTTAGATCTATTAAAATCCTAAGTTTAATCCTAAACTGGTAATGAACCAGTAATCATGAAAATCTACACCAGTAATATACTGGTAAATAAATATTATTCAATCTCTGAATAAAGTTTTCCCCCACACCACTTAATACTATCAAATTATTTAACCAAAGAAAAAAACTAACTTAAACACACACCTTGATACAGTGGTGTAATCTGCTGTCTGTACGTTGCAACTCTCGTTCTTGCGATATATACGTCATGAAATACTGTGAAATGACGTAAAATACGATAACCAATCAGAAACATTGCGCACCTGATCATCAACCAATCACAGGCGATACGCGATAACCTTATTCCCACGACAACAAAAAGTTGTGTACATGTTTCACCATAAAATAGAAACAAGTAAAATATTATAACTACTTTATAATCAAAATAACTTTCGTAATAATTAAAGAAGATTGACATACAATTAATTAAATAAATCGCCGCTTACAACTTTTAACATTTTAAGAAAAATGCATTCTGGGAAACTGCACTTCCGGAATAACAAACCATGTGGCGAAAGAGAAATCATACCAGGTAACAATTTACCAAATAATCGCTAAACAAACACCGTTTAATTATGTGATCATGTATACAATATAGGAAGCTATAGATAACAATTAATTTAACATCATAACAACATTAAAATCTCGAAAAGCAAAGAAAATATGCTGCAATAAACATCGTCTGACAGAATTCGGGGGTCGTATCAAAACACAATGAACAAAAAAATGTATTCTAGTAATACGGTTAAAACTTCGTGATTATAATATCGCTGTCACTATATTTGTCACATTTTGCCCCCTGTTAAAATGGTCCAAGTCCCTTTGGACTTATTTTACCACAATAAAAAAAATGTCAACAACGCAAGAATGAAAAGATGATCTCAAATCAAGATGAAAGTATGATGTAACAATGTATAGAAGGATGATTCTATAACAGCAATGCAAATGTGAAAATATGACAAGGTAAGTATGAAAATATAACATCATGTAAATATGTGCATCTGTACTTGCACATAAATGCTAACTACTGATAATAATGTACTTTGCTAATAATTTAGAGACAAATGTACATAAGCATAACCATAAGCAGTATCTCAAGTAACATATCCTAATCTTCCTTGTTTTCATTCGCAGAGTTAATCAGAACAGAGGATACCGATGGACACAATTCATATTACTAATCTTAAGATCTCATGAAAAATAATAAAGGTAAGTACACAGATCAATCTCTCAGTTTAGTGTCTCAAAAAGCAATTAGATTCATAAATAAATTACCAATTCCAATGAAACTCATTCCACAAAGACACCAAGTAAAATATGAATTCTCTAGCATTCAAAAAGATTTTACAGTCATTGCTCAAAATACGTTCAAGTACTTTAACTTATTACTGTAGACACTCTCAAGTATATATACAATGTACATACATCAAACTATCATTGTAATTATAACATATGGTAACATGATAAAATACAAATTCAAGCAAAATAAACCACAGATGCTCGAAGTTACGATGAAAAATACACAGAAAGTCACACAACCATCCCAATCCTAATCTTACTTCCCAAATTAACAATAGAATAATATTATAACAAGTTATCTTATTCTGAGGAGAAATATACTTAGCACAAAGTTAATGTCCATTTTTACTGTTTCTCTCAGGCTTGAAAAGGTCCTCAAGGGGAGATGGTCTTTGGTACGGCTCTGGTTTCCTTGCTGATGGTCGTCTGGGCATTTGATAAACAACTGATTTCATTCTTGGGGGTGGCGGAGACTTCTTCCGGTATGATATACTGTAAATTACTTTTTATTCGCGAGAACTTTATTTTCGCGTAATTTCGCGAGACGGTATGCTCGCAAAAATTTCATTCTCGCGTTTAATAGAATTCTTTAAGATTATATAGAGCAGTGACCACAATTCATGAAAATTTTGTCTCGCTAATAAAGAGTCCATGACTATCTCGCGAAAATAAGGTGCCGCGAAAATTAAGTGATCTATAGTATTAGGGCGTTCACCTTCCCATGGTCCGTGATGCATAGACCTCATCTCCTGCTGTGTCTGGGATTTTTTGAGGAGTTCTTCGAGCCTGTTGGTGGCAAGGGTGTTGTTCCTCAGGGCTCCTTAAATGGAGAGGTATTAATTCCTATGTCACTGGTGGTTTTGGGAGGCACATTTTCCGAATCGAACTCACTGGTATCTTTCATGATCAGAAACTCGTCCAGGATGGATGCTTCTTCAGTGTTAAGTGAAGGAAGTGTGATAGTGGGGACTGAAGGAGGAGGCAGGGGCGTAGCCAGGCGTACGTTTGTACGCAAAAACGTCCACATCATTTTCAAAAAAAAAAAAGAAAAAAAAAGAAGAAAAGATAGGAGAGGAGAGGGAGACAGGCGTAATACTGTAAAGAGTACTCATCAATTTTTCAAAATATTAGTAGATAAAAAATAAATGAAAAACAACAGAATCAGTTTTAGGGGGAAAACTATTATACACCTCACTGAAATCAAAAGATTTTCCCGGATTTTGGTTTACTATCAAATATTGCTGATATTTTTTCTAAGTGTAATTACATTCTTAAAGTTTCTCTATTGTAGATGTCACACAATAAAACCCCAGTCGGTTCACTTAAAACAAACGATAATTTTATTTAATGCCAAAAATTTCAATTTCTATTAATGGTAATTAACTTCCAACCGCAATGCTTTACTTCTGTAATGATATCCCCCCTATTTTAACCTAATATCGGATTTATGCGAGACTTCAAAAATCATAATTCAGCTTTATATTTGAACATCAAAAATCGAAAAAAAAATTGTCAAATTTTGTTTAACCTTAAAAAATAATAATAAGGCCTTAACACTACCTTAAAACCAGTAGTATATTTTACATGTTTTTTTATAATTGTTGAAAAAAGTTTAAGATACCAGATTTGTGAATATTTATGAACATACAGTTTAAAATGTAAACAGTGTACATAGGTAATGTGCAAGAAAATGTGTTGAAAAGAATTCTTATGTCTTTGTTTTTTTCAATCTTTACAGATGTATTTTTAATATTAATGTAAGCCTGACTCTCAGTCGATTACGTGGTCTGTCTACACCAGTCAACCACTCTAACCAGCTACCGTATGTTAACCAAAAGTATTTTGTGGAGCTTCAAAAGTCTAAAATTGTTTTAGTGGGTTCGCTTTTGGGCAGATCTTTTCTCATGTTTGAGTGGCTGTTCGCATTTTGCACAAGGAAAAAAACAGACCTTAAATGTGGCTGCGTAACAAACTGAAAAAGTGTAAGAAAAATACTACTAGTGTCAGAAGGGTCAAGCATGCATATCGAAATCGTCGAAAATTCATCAGACCCCCAGCCTATCCAGGCGTCCACATCAAATGTATCCTGGCTACGCCCCTGGGAGGAACAACAGAAGATAAGACAGGCACCGCAGCAGATGAGACGGGCACAGCGGAAGATGAGACCGGCACAGCAGAAGATTACACGGGCACGGCAGCAGATGGAGGAGCAGCAGATGGACCTACTACAATGACAGAAGCTGATGGCACAGGTAATGGCAGAGATGGACGTGGTGCAATGGTAGGGTAGCTGATCTCAACAGATGAACAGGGAAGCTGGGGAAATCGAGGAACCATGGGTCTTCTTTTGCTCTCCCAGTATCTCCTGGATTCCTCGATGGACCACTGTCGCATCATGGAGAACACAACTTTGCTCTCCGGCCGTATCTCCTCTGGACCCTTAAGTGTGTAAGCTACTGATAAGGCCATGGAACGATGAATTTCATACCATTTAATGTGACTGCTGAAGTTTGTGTAGTTGTAATGGCTGTATTGGCACAGGGTACAATGATAGGGCCACTCGTCTATGGTCAAGTGTTTTGAGTACACGTGATTCTTGTACAGTGTGTCTCTCTCCTCTGTAAGGGCAAACAACGCAACCCCACACTCTGCCTCTTCTGCCGGCTGTAGTCATCAAAGACATCTTGCAAGGGTAATTATCTGCAGTAGAAACATGGAAATTACCATGTAGTTTATATTAACAATAATATGACATTATTATATACAAAAATAGCTATACTTTCTTAATAGCTATAAAATTCTAATCAGAAGAATACCCCATTTATTTAAACCAATAGTTAGACTTGCATCATGTAAATATGAACATGATAAACAACAACTCTCTTGTTCTATTCATAATAGATTATTTTATTTGTTATTTGTAGGCTGCAAAGGCATGACAGAGAA